GTGTTATCCCTTTCTGAAATGTTTGGGAGAATTCATTAGTAAAACCATCTGGTCCTGGAGTTTTCTTGTAAGAAGTGTGTATGTATGTGTGTGTTATGAGAGAGAAACTGAGAGGTTTTTTAACTAAAGATTAAAATTACTAAGATGAGCAACACCTGAGATTTTACTGCTCATGTTTTCTTCTGTAATTTTTATGGTTTCAGGTCTAATATTTAAGGCTTTAATCCATTTTGAATTTATTTTTATATGTGGTGTAAGATGGTCTAGTTTCATTTTTCTGCATATATCCATCCAATTTTCCCAACACCATTTATCGAATAAACTATCTTTAGCCCATTGTATGTCAAATATCAATTGACTATAAAGGTCTAGGTTTATTTCTTAGCTCTATAGTTGTTCCATTGATCTATGTGTATATTTCATGCTTTTACCATGTTGTTTTGAATACTATGGCTATATAGTATAGTTTGATATTGGGTAGTGTGATTTCTCCAACTTTGCTCTTGTTTCTCAGGATCACTGTTGCTATGTGGGGTCTTTTGTGGCCCATACAAATTTTTGAAATATTTGTTCTAGTTCTGTGAAATACATTATTGGAATCTTGATAGGAATCGTGTTGAATCTATAGGTTGTTTTGGGTAGTATTAATTAATGATGTTAATTCTTCCTATCCATGAACATAGTATGTACTTCTACTTATTTCTATCTTCTTCAATTTCTTTCTTCAGTGTCTAGTAATTCCCTGAGTACAGGTCTTTATATCCTTGATTAGGTTTATTCCTAGGTATTTTATTCTTTCTGAAGCAATTGTGAATAGGATTGTTTTCTTAATTTCCATTTATGTAGGTTTGTTATTATAAAAATGCAACTGATTCCTGGATATTAATTTTATATCCTACTACTTTGCTGAATTCACTTATCAGTTCTATTAGTTTTGTAGTTTCTTGGTGAAATCTTCAGGGTTCTCTATGTATAGTGTCATGTCATCTGCAAACAAGGAAAGTTTCACTTCTTCCTTTCTAATTTGGATGCAATTTATTTCTTCTTCTTGTCTGATTGCTATGGCTAGGACTTCCAGTACTATGTTGACTAAGAGACATGAAAGCAGACACCTTTGTTGTGTTCCTGATCTCTCCCCAGGTAAAGGGAACAACAACAACAACAACAAAATGAGACCAAAAACAAATATCAAACTAAGCAAAAGAAAAACCAAATATCAAACTAAAAAGTATTTCACAGCAAAGGTAAAACATTAACAAAATAAAAAGACAACCTACAGAATGGTAGAACATATTTGCCAATACATTTGATAAGGGGTTAATAGTCCAAATTTATAAAGAATTTATAAAACTCAACACCAAAAAAAAAAAAAACTAATTAAAAAATGGGCAAAGGACCTGAATAGAAACTTTTCCAAAGGTGACATAAGATGGCCAATAGTCATATGAAATGATGCTCAACATCACTAATCATCAGAGAAATGCAAATTAAAACCACATTGAGATATCGTCTCACACCTGTTAGAATGACTATCATCAATAAATCAACAAACAAGTGCTCGCAAGGATGTGGAGAAAGGGGAGCCCTTTCACACTGTTGGTGGGAATGCAGACTGGTGGAGCCACTGTGGAAAGCAGTATGGAGAGAAATCAAAAAATTTGACCCAGCGATCCCACTTCTGGGAATACCAGGGGATATCCGAAGGTACCCAAAATACTAATTCGAAATAACATAAGCATATCTGTGGTCATGACAGCATTATTTACAATCATCAAGATATGGAAGCAACCCAAATATCCATCAGTAGATGAGTGCATAAAACAGTCATGGGATATTTACACAAAGGAATACTACATGGCAGTAAAATAGAAGGAAATTTTACCCTTTGCAACAGTATAGATGGACCTGGAGAACATTATGCTAAGTGAAATAAGCCAGTCAGAGAAAGAAAAATACCATATGATTTCACTCATATGTGGAATCTAATTAACAAACTGAATTAACATGCAAAATACAGACAGACTCATAGAGAGCGGGATGACAGCTAAGGTGCGGGGGTCGTAGGTATTGGCGAGATTGAGCAAAGAGGAAAAAACTCATGGATATGGACAACAGTGTGGTGATTGTGGCAGGGAGGAGATATAAGGGGATTAAGTGGTAATAAAAAATACAATAACTTAAAAAAAGAAAATTACTAAAATGGTTATAGAGCTATTCAACTTATCCTTCTCTTTTTTGGCAACTGTCTTTTAGGAAATTTGTCCCTTTCTTCTACTTATTAGCATAAAAAGTGTTCCTAATATCCTTATCATTTAAATGTCTGTTCAATCTGTATCGATGACACCTTTCTAATTCTCACTGTTGGTAATTTGCACCTCCCTCTTTTTCTCTTGATCAGTCTGGATAGAGGTTTTTTTGGGGGAGTGTCAATCATATAGAAATAAGAACCAAGTTTTTATTTCATGTATTTCTTTTTAAAATCAATTTTCATTGTTATTCAATTACGGTTGTCCCAATTTTTCCCTCTTTGCTCTCCTCTGCCCTTCCTACCCCTTGAACCTGCAGTCAATCCCACATTTTTGTCCATGTCTGTGAGTCATTCATACATGTTCTTTGTCTAGTCCCTTCCCTTTCTTTCCACCATTATGGCCCTTCCTCCTCCCCTCTGGCCTCTGTCAGTGTGTTCCATGTTTCCATGCCTGTGGTTCTATTTTGTTCATTAGTTTATACGTGAGATCATTTGGTATTTGTCTTTCACCTACTGGCTTATTTCACTTAGCATAATATTCACCAGTTCTATCCATGCTGTCACAAAAAGTAGGGGTTCCTGCTTTCTTTCTGCTGCATAGTATTCCATTGTGTAAATGTACCAGTTTTTTTGACCTACTCATTTACTGATGGGCACTTAAGCTGTTTTCAGTACTTGGCTATTGTAAATAATGCTGCTATGATTATAAGGGTGTGTAAATTCTTTTAAATTGGTGATTTGAGATTTTTAGGGTATATTCCCAGCAGTGGAATCACTGGGTCAAAAGGCAGTTTCATTTCTAGTTTTTTGAGGAAATTCCATACTGTTTTCCACAGTGGCAGCACCAGTCTGCAGTCCCACCAACAGTGCACTAGGGTTCCCTCTTCTCTGCAACCTTGCCAGCACTTGTTTGTTGATTTATTAATGACAGCTATTCTGACAGGTGTGAGGTGATATCTCTTCCTGGTTTTAATTTGTATCTCTCTGATGGCTAGTGATGTTGAGCATCTTTTCATATGTCTACGGACCATCTGGATGTCTTCCTTGGAGAAGTGTCTATTCAGGTCCTTTGCCCATCTTTTTATCGGATTGAAATGGCCATAAACGAGCTGGAGCTGCAGTGGCCCTCCCAAAAATATTAGGTCTCATGGTACATCATCTAAGTATAGGCCTATCACAACAGCCATAAGTGGTAGTCGGAATAGAGATCATGTTGAGTTTTTTTCGCATGTCATCCCATTTGTCACAAAATATGCGTTATTTGGTTTGAACAGAGGAAGAGTTATGATAGTTTCTCTATGCAAGAATTAAACCCAGGACAAACTGGTTTGTGGAGGAACTGGCCACGGGGAATACTCAAATTCCAGGAGCACATGTGAATGAGGAATTCTCCTGTTCTTGACTCTGAAGTAGGTGACATGCTGAAATGTGTTATCTCTAACTTCAACTAAAAGTCTTCTGAAGAGTCAATTTTACAGAGCACTTAAAAGAAAATAATGCTGCGAATGGGCGATACGTTTATAAAAGTTTTAAACAACTTAAACCTGTCTGGATGTGTTGCAAAAGAGTGGAGCAACAGTTTTCATACCAGTGTTTCCATACATTGGGCTAGCCACATTTTTACACTAGCTGGGCTCACAACCCGTGAACCACAGACATCCTCGATCTCAAAAAAAAGTTGGTGGAAAAAGCGCGGGAAGAAGAGGGCACTGGGCGGCTCTGGGTGTGAATGACACTCGCTTCGGACTCACTGGGACAAAAGCTCCCTTCCCGAGTCCCACCGGAAGATGAGTAGCTATCCCTGTATCTTGCTCATTTCAGTCGGCTATCACTTTCGCTGCTCAGTCAGGCCCCGCCTACTGGCCCAATGCACCAACTAAAACTAAAATCCAAGAAGAGAGGGGGAAAAGAAAAAGAAAGAAGGGGCGAAAAGCTGCACCAAGTCCTCTGCCGGCAGACTCTCGCGACAACTCCCGAGTACCGTGGTTCCCGGGGAGACCTGGAGAGCGGACCGCCGGAGGCGGGCTCTGCCGTGGCTCCGCCTTTCCTGAGCGCGGGTGCACTTTGGCGGGAATTTCGCCTTTTTGGGATGTGGACCCTGCGGACTCTTTGGCTGTAGTTGGGACGGCGGCCGGCGGATCTCAGGGACTGAAAGTGTGAGTTGGTACGAGGGGCATCAAACAGGGGGTGCTCCGGTGTTGAGGACCCCGGCTTTTGTTGTCCCCTGCCTGGTCCGCGCCGGTTCCTGCCGAGTTTGTTCCGGAGAAACTTGAGACTTGCTCGGTGGCCGGGAGGAGTGGGGTTTGGCGCGGGGTCCTCCCGATCTCCACCCAGAGTCTGCAAAGGAGCTTTCTCACAACACTGCGGGGAAACTGGCTCGGTGTGATTTAGCGGAGGGCACAGGTCTAGGCGGGCTCGGGAGGGGAACCAGTGTCTGCCCCGCAAGCCCGTCTTTCCTCTTTCCCCGGCCCCGGGCTGCGGCAGGGCCGGACCTGGAGCGGGTAAGTTCCTGCTTCAGCCGGTCGCGGCTGCGTTCTGCCCACGTTCAGGCAGCCTTGATCTCGGGAAGTCCGTGGTGGAGAGTTGTGGGGAATTTGGCTTCTCGGTGTTTTTCTTTCTGCCGGGGAGGGGATCGTTTTGGTGACTTTCTGACGTCACCCGGCCTTCCTCCGGGAGTCTCATCACAACTTCTTTGGAGCCCGTAATGATAATTATAATGAACCCCCAAACATTTCAGGACATGAAATAAACAATGGATATCTGTTCCGCCGTGCCGACGTTCCTGACCGACAGCTTGGAACTGGAGCTGGCAACCGAATGGTGCAAACCCCCTTGCTTTTCTTGTGCTTTTGACAACAGAGAAGGAGGGGAACATTTTTCTGGAGAGTCCTACCTTTCCAGCGGAGCTCTTAAGCGGTAGGTAAAAGAATCGGAGACTTTGTTTCACTTTCATCAGATTTTTCATTAGTTTGTTAGAAATGATATTCAAGGTTTCAAGCAACTAAATTTTGATATTCAAGCCGTATTTTTGTCAATCGGCTTAGTACGTCAGACAGATGCAAACTATTAGGCTGTTGTTGGTTTCCTGGTTAAGAGCATACCTGAAAGATTTTTGGAGATGAAGACCTTTCTTGCTGCCTGATACTCTCTCACCTCACTGCTTCCTCGGCTTTGCCGGATGGAGCTGTGTTCTAATTTCCCTTTTACTTAAAGTGAATCCTGAACTACCTGGGCTTTTTGAAATGATGTTTCCTCCTAAAACATGAAATAATATTTTGGAGCTTCTCAGTGATATGTAAGACATGCACGTTTTTTGTTGCCCCAGTTCCTTCTACGTCTGTGTGTCACTACATACAGTAACAGAAGTCTTACAGACTTATTTTTTTTTAAAAAAACTTTCTAATAAATACATGAGATTGCGTAAGTTCACAGTCATGTTATTCTTCAAAATTCTTGCCTTGGACAGTTGTACACATACTGTTGTAAAACTGCTGTTACTGAAATATTTTGGGAATACGTTCTGAGGAAATTTTAATCAGAAAGGAAATAATTTTTGTTGGTTTTATAGTTGCACTTTGTTTGAGACCTTAAAAGAGATTACTCAGTTTGATTATGCTGTCCTCCACACATGGCTCAGAATAACTTATAACTTATAGCTGTTTTAAAAATTAAATGCCTCCTCAAAGAATGAAATTCTACATCTGAAGACCACAATAAAACACAGGCAAGAGCATGTCCTTTAGACTCCTTTTTTGTGTTTTACACATAAGTTACTTTGCTCTTTAGTTATACTTTTTTTTTTGATCAGTATACAGGATCAAATTTGTAACACCGTTCTAGCTTTAGTATTCCTGGATATGTGTGCAGTACCAAGGCATATCCTGACCTTGTATAATACAATTGCTGTCATGTCATGCATGTATGATATGGGTTCATAGAAGGTCAAAAAGAACATGCTATAGTTTAGGACTTAGCATACTTTTCATGAGATTTAATCATAGTTTTCATTTCAGATTAATTTTGAATCTTGATCCTTTACCAAATAATTTTGAAGAGGATACAGTGGAAATATTTGGCATTCAGTGGGTTACTGAAACAGCATTAGTGAATTCATATAGAGTGCTGTTTCATTTATTCAGGTAAGTTTTGTTTTTGTTTTTTTTTTTTAATTTCCTTGAAGTGCAGATGCTGTTTACTTTGTAAATTTATGTTGCTCTGTGGTTTTTAATACTGATATTAACAAAAACATCAGTAGAGTTGTGCATTTTGTTCACTTGATTATCTTAACAATAACAAAGCAGTAACATTTTATGGAGTAATAATTTTAATGAGTTGTTTTTTAATGAATATTCTTTTTAAGAATCTTTATTTGACATCGTGTATTTAAGACAAATATTTAAGGCTTTGAACTATATTATGGTTTTGGAAGAAGACCAAAATACTTTTGTTGCTTAATAGCTATAATTTTTTAATGACTTTTAGAGAATGAACTCATGCTTTCCAATATATCTTCCAGACTGTACAATAGAAATGTTATTAATTAATATGATTAATTTGGACAACTTTAAAAATATTTTAATGAAAAATTTCAAACATGCACAGAGATAGAATAGTATAATGAACCTGCACATACCTTCCCTTAATTGTAATAAACATTAAGGTTTTATCACGTTTTCTTCATCTCTTTCATCCCCTCTTATCTTTGGCGTAAGTATTTTTAAGCAAATTCTACGCTTCATGGGATTACATATTTCAATATGAACTTCTTAAAAAATAAGCTTTTTTCAAACATAAACGCTATCTTATCATAATGAACATTGTTGAAATAAAGTATCATTTAAAACCTAGTGGATATTCACATTTTAGATTTTGAAATGGAGTCAGTTACTGAGGGCAAATTATTATCCGAAAGTACATTAAAAGTGTGTATATGGTCCATTTAAATGGAAACGGAAAGGTGGAGGGATTTCTCCTCCCACCCTCATCCCATAGACCTTGTGAAGAGGCATCGCTGTGTTTGTGCCACGTTACGTATTTTCTTGGCGGAACTGGATGAGTGAAGATTCTTTAATTTTGAACATTACAGAATGAGTTGAGTCTTTATCCAGAACACAGGTCATTGATACTAGTCAATCTTTAAGGAGTTGAAAGGCAACTAGGAAGAATGGCAAGAGGAGATTACTATCAGGAATTAGGTGGAACAGTATAAAAAGAACTTTCCCTGATAACTCTAGTCTTTTTGAACTCCTACTGGATAAATACAAGGTCTGGCACAAATAACACCCCTTTTTATTACATAAAAATCTTTTATTACAAAATTATAAGCATGTAATTTGGTAACACAGTATCACACTCAAGCACACCATAGGACATTTAGGTGAAATGTTCAAATTGCTGTCCATCTCCTGCAAGACATTCACACACCCTGCCAACCACTCTCAATCTGCTGGACCAGACCGTGTATATGATACAGTTTAACATTTCATTATGTAACTGTTAACCTAGAGTATTTTATATAAGTATCCTAAACTTTTTGAAGATTTAAACAGTATCTAGTTGATAGTGAGATCTATGATATTTGATACAATTTCTGAGACATATGCAGCTTTTATTATATTATTCTTGGAAGGTCAGACAAAGGCATATTTTATCTTTTTCCAAAAAGATACCTTCACTACCTGAAGCTGACCTGTAATAAACATTCTTGAAGTACTGAAAACATTATTCTTGTAATTGTTACATGCTTTACACTATTCTAAAGTTAACTTTCACTTTACATTTTTTAAATTAGGCAACAACTGTATAACTTGGAAACCTTACTACAGGCCAGCTGTGATTTTGGTGAGTTGTGTATTAAAAGGTGAATTGTGTGTTTAAAAGGGAATTGCATGTGGGTTTTATGATGCATAGTTGGGATATCATAATAATATGGAAGAACTGTTAAGTTAGAAGCTCAGGATACAGTGTATTTAGTTTTCAGAAAAAGTATGACACTTAAATTTTATTGTAGCTGAGATTCATAGTACTTTTTCAGATCTGTAGGTAAAATTGATTTAAGGCTGAACATCTCTGAAGTGAATTAGTAACAAACTTTGGGGGTGCGAAGTGGAATAGAGAAGTCATAAGAGAAATACTACCAGACCTTATGCTCTCTTTTTGCTCTTCTTTTCTGCTCTCTGTTTTTTTTTTGTTTGTTTGTTTGTCTGCATTTGACATTTAATGGATTACTGATTTAGGGGCTTGGTACAGTTAAGTTGGTGAAGGGAGTCGAAAGGCATTCTGATTTAGTGCGGGCCAGCTTCTTATTAGTGATGTCCAGCAACTACTGATTACCTGGAACACATCTTTGGTCAAAGAAAGGTTTAGTGGCTTATTAAACCAAAGGGAAAATCTTCATCAGGAGGAACAGTTAGGACCTCTCCATAAGAGGGAGTAGGGTGGGGATTGTGATAGGGTCTGGGCTTGTGCCATCTGATTTTGGGTACAGTTTAAGGGGACTAGGATCTTGTTCTTGATTGGATGCTGTTAAGCAGGGGCAATTTGATTATTATGTTAATTTTTATATAGAAAGTAAGACAGATAAAGGGAGTCTCGGGAGGGTTCTAATTAGCAAAGAAGCAATCATGTCAGCTGGTAGAGGGAGATGTTCTGTTTTTATATTTTGTGTGATTGTATAATGCCCTGTTTCTGATTACAGAGAGGGTTTGTTACTGTCTTGTTTCACCATAATCCTGGATGGCCCTGATTATTTTTTAAAATTATTTTATTAAAGTATTGTTGATACAATATTATATTTGTTTCAGGTATACAATATAATGATTTGACATTTACATACCTTACAAAGTAATTACCATTAAGTCTAGTAATTGTCACTGCACAGTTATTACGGTATTAATGAGTCTATTCACTAGGCTGTGCATTGCATCCTTTTAACTTACATGTTTTATAGCTGGAAGTTTGTACTTTTTAACCCCCTTTACCTTTTTACCCACTCCCCACTCGCTTCCCTCAGGCAACTGTCAGTATGTATCTGTGAGTCTGTTTCTGTTTTGTTTTCTTTTCTTTTAGATTCTACGAATAAGTGAAATCATATGGTGTTTGTCTTCCTCTGACTAACTTATTTCATATAACATAGTATCTTCTAAGGTCCATCCATGTTGTCACAAATGGCAAGATTTCATTCTTTTTTATGGCTGAGTAAGAGTCCATTTTACATATATATCTCACATCTGTCTCCATTCATCTATTGATGGACACTTATGTTGCTTCCTTATCTTGGCTATTGTTATTTGCTTCAATGAACCTAAGGGTGCACATATTCTTTTGAATTGGTATTTTCATTTTCTTCAGCTAAATACCCAGAAGTGGAACTGATGTGTCGTATGGTAGTTCTATTTAAGGTTTTGAGGAGCCTCCATACTGTTTCCTACAGTGGCTGCACCAAATTACATTCCCACCAACAGTGCGCAGGGTTCTCTTTTCTTCACATCTTCATCAGCACTTATTATTTGTTGACTTTTCGATAATAGCCTTTCGGATGGGTATGAGGTGATATCTCATGCGGTTGGATTATTTTTGATATTTTATGAAAACTGTTTAACTTCAGTAAAAATAGCTGTCAGTGCTGTTTTATTTGTTTTGTTTTCTCAGTGCATGCCCAATAAGCATTGAGTATTAGTGTTCCGTTATCACCTGAGTCCCTGCTTCAGCCAAAGTCCTGGGTAAGCTGTAGACAACCATCAAAGTGGAAAAGTAGGCTGCTGAAGAGCTTGCAGCTGAGTAGATCATAAGGACACGCAAGCATGGTAAAGGGAAAAGTAGTGGTAGAAGCAGGTACCAGCCGGTACAGGAAATAAGGGCTTCATTTGCTTCTGTGCCTGTCACCAAGTGATGCCAGATCTTAGTCTCCCAGGATGGGGAGAAATTAGCGAGGCAGATTTTGGGAAGGTTGTGGGGACAGGAAGAGTTCCAGCTAGAGACAACTGTATTGACAAAGCCTTTGAGGTATGTAAAAACATAAAAGTTCGGGGAGCAAGAAGTAAAGAGTGTGTGTCAGTGATGAATTTGAAAGGGATGAAAGTCCAGTTGTCTTTGTAAACCACACCAAAGGGTCAGGATTATATTTTGAAACCCTGGGGAAACTCTAAAAGATTATAGTGGACTCAGCAAGAACATATTACCATATAGACTGACTTAATGAAATTGGGTCTGAGGAGGGCATTTATTATACAGGATTATTCCTTAAAAAGCACTTATTGACCTAAAATCGTACATTTGTTGAAATGGTTATTTGTTTCACCAATATTTTGGCTGCTTTAGTTTCTTAAAAAAACTTTTACTGATAGATTTGTTGGATAGGTTAACAGTATTAAAGATTATTCCTAGATTAGCTCATCATTGTCAAGCGCCTTTATCAGGGCTCTGTTAATAATGTCAAGGAGCTAACCTTGGCCCTCAGCCCTCCCCAGAAAGCCCTTAGGTGGGACACTTCCTGGGTGGTTCTTGTTCTCCTCCTCATTATGCTACTCAGATTGCTTTTCATTGAGGCAGAATAACATACAAAATAATGTGTGTTTTGCTGATACCTGTTCTTTTTTTTTGAACCTTTACTCGAGGATCTGTTGATTGATTTGAGAGAGAAAGAGAGGGAGGGAGGGAAGGAGAGAGGGAAGAAGGGAGGGAGAAACATTGATGTGAGAGAGAAACATCAATTGTTTGCCTTCCATACATTCCCCTATTGGGCATTGAGCCTGCAACCTAGCTATGTGCCCCGACCACAGATGGGACAATGCCCCAACCAACTGAACCACTGGTCAGGGCACTGATGCCTGTCCTTAAATATAAAAGTTTGTGTTAATCCATTTTCAGATATTATATTTTTTTGTCTATAGATGTTTCTCCATATAGATTTGGAGTTTAAAAAATATCTTCTGTTTCTGTCCTCATGGCTTTTTTTTCATCCATCTTGGACATACAGACTACACATATAACTGCTTTTTTTTAACTTTGTTGATTGCAGATTATTTTGTCATTGCTATTTCTGGGTCTGTTTGTATTGATTGATTTTTTTTCCTAGGCCTGTGTTATAGTTTTGTGGTTCTTTGAAGATCTAGTAATTTTTTGTTGTGTGATGGACATTGTAGATTTTACATCACTGCTTTCTGGATTTTCTTACATTATTTCTCTAACTAGTGTTAAATTTTGTCCTGGCTTGCTGTTGAATACCTGTAATTCATTGGATTTTTTTAATCTAGTTTTAAATATTGTTAAGACATAAAAGTAGCCTTTAGTCTAAGGTTAATTTAGCTTTAATAAGGCTAATGAGGATTCTTTTTGGTGTATTATAATTTTTCTTCATTCTTTCTAGTGGTAACTCAAACTGTTCCGTGGCCTGTGGAAGCTTTGTAGGGAATTGTTTCCTAATGTTTTTACCTGGCCTTAGTTGTTTTTTTTCCCCACTCATTCTTAAACAGATCAGTACTCAGCCAGAGAGTCAGTGGGGATCCTCTGTACATTTCTAGAGCTTTTTTTTGTGTTTTGGTAACTGTTTTCTTCTTTGGTATTTTTGTGCTATAAATTCAGACCATCTGTTTTGGGCTCTCTTTGGGTTCTCTCTCCCTGTGCTGCAGCCTCGAAATTGTCTTTCAGTGGGATGTGTTGGGATGGTAATTTTGTATTGCCTTGTTTCTGGTGCTTGAACACTTTTTTAATGTTTTTCTTGTCTTCTAGTTTAAGATGGGAGATGGGTAAATCTGATCCCTTTTACTCCATCTTGGCTGGACACAGGAGTTCACAGCTGTTGCTTTTAAGAGAGTACTGCCTTTATGGGTTGAAAATTGTGAAATTGAGAGATGATATGACTTTTGTAGGTGAAATATAATTAAGCTATAAAAATGCATGCACTGTTTAATATGTAGATATTTGCATAACCAAATATCTGTTGGTTTACCAAAGCAGTGGCCATGTCTGCCATTTAATTTCAAATTTAGAAACAAGTTTTCTTTATGTTTAATATGGACTAGAGTTTGCTGTCTTTCTCATCATTTTTTTCTGCTTTTGTTTAGTGATTGTCTCTTACTTATTTTTCTTACAGTGATTGTTATAGTACATATGTTTTGCACATAGTAACATTCCAGATAATTTTTGCTTATGTAAATGTTGAAGTGAGGGAAATATGGCATGGATTGAAGTTGGGAGAAAGACAATACTAATATATCACTTGGGGCCTTGTAAATCATTATAAGGAGTTTTGATTTCATTCTAAATTCAGTAGATAGCCTTTCATTGGTTTTGATTTAGGGGGAACAGGAATTTATATACATATATATATGTATAAATATATATGCATATATATTTAAAGCATATTTTGTATTTAGATATAGAGGGGCAAAGGAAGGTGTGGGAAGACCTATTAGGAGACCTGTTGCAGTAATTCAAGAGTTCATAGGGAAATGGATAGTTCGAAGGTATATTTTGGTCATAAACTTAATAGGACACTGGTGGGTTAGATATGAGTTTTAAGGAAATGGAAGAAGCAATGACATATAGGCAACTGCCGACACCAGTTGTAATGAGTGGAGAGACATGGGCATGAATGGGTTTTGGAAGAAATCAGGGATGTATTTGCACTCTGAGCAACCCAAGTACAAGATGGTGGGCAGTTTGACCTGGAAGGTCTGGAATGCAAAGGAGAGGTCTGGGATATAGGTAAACCTTTTCAAATTGTTATCACTTTGAAATAAAGGAACTGACCATACACACAGGAAGAGATGTTACAGTGAGGAGAGGACTCAGGACTGAGTCCTGAGGAGCCCCCACACTAGTAGTTGGTTAGAGGAGAAAGAAAGGACACGTGAGGAAAAAAGAAGACGACAGGATATGGTGTCAGTGAAACCAGGTGTAGCCAGTGCTACTGTGAGGACAAGTTACTTGAGGACAGATAGTATCCATTGATTGGACAACACAGATTACATTAGTGACCTTAATAAGAACAGATTTTTTCGGGGGTGGCAAGAATTATATAGGCATCATTGGAAAAAATTGAAAGAAAATTGCTGCTTGTTTGTTACTGCACTGATTATTTAAACTGTGATTAACATTATCTGTTTGGGTTTCAGGGAAGATATCAACCCTACACTGCAAAGCGGACAATATTAGGCAGCAATGCATAACATTTCTTCATTATGTTAAAGTTTTCATCTTCAGGTAGGATGTCAGGTAACTCTTTTGATTACAGCCTGAATTTCTGAGTGCATATTAATCCAGACTCTGGTTGTTCATGGTATCCAATTGTTTTTTAGGTACCTGAAAGTACAAAATGCTGAGAGTCACGTTCCTGTTCATCCCTATGAGATGTTGGAGGCAGAGCTTCCCTCAGTATTGATTGATGAGCTTCACGGATTACTCTTGTATATTGGACATCTGTCTGAACTTCCCAACATTAATCCAGAAACATTTGAAAATCAAAATCAGATTAAGGTTTGACTTATTTCATTTAATTTTTAAATTATTGGTTTTTTCTCCCTATGTGGAATGTTTATTCAAGAATGAATGAAAGTAGTCAAGAGTGCAGCTCTGGAACCAGACTGCCTGAGTTGAAATTCTGGCTTTTCCTTATATTAATTATGTGCCTCTGGGCAAATCATACCTCTTGCCTCAGTCTCCCCTTCTGTATAATTGGTATCGCTTCCTAGACTTACTGAGAGAATTAAATAAATTAAAATGAATAAAGCACTTAGAACATAGTATACACTAAATCAGGGATGACTCTTCTGTATTCCAATTTATAATTGCAAATATTTAAAAGTTTCAAATCAAATAAAATAACCTGTATTTTCTAAAATATATATCATTTTTCCCTACTTTTTATTATAGTAAAATTTAAGATTATCTTCAAAAGTTACATTTTCAAAACCATGTCATTTCGTTTATTCTGATTTTTGAGACTTTTTCAGAATATGATTAAGATTGTTTTGACTAATGCCCTATCCCCCTCTTTTTAAAATTTGTATTGATAGCATAATGCAGCTTATGGATATAATTTACAAATTCTCCATAGGATAATGTGAGTTTAGGTATATAACCAATTATACTTCCCCAAGGATTCCCTAAACTCTCAACCTCTTCTATTTGACTTAACCAATTTGAATAACATTTAGTTTTTAGGAACATGTCTTTGTCAAAATGTGAAGTACAATGAAATGTTTGTATGTTTCTGTGAAAATGAACAACAAAAAAATTGACTTTTTGAGGGATAAATATATCTAATAATAAAAGTAAATAGAGCCCTGGCTGGTGTGGTGTTGGTCGGAGTGTCATCTTATAAACTGAAAGGTCGTGGGTTCGACTTCCATCAGGACACCTGCCTGTGTTGCAGGTTCAGTCCCAGTCCTGGTGGGGGCATGTATCAGAGGCGACCAACAAATGTTTCTCTCCCTCCCTGTCTTTCCCAGTTCCCCTCTCTAAAGTCAATAGTCGTATCCTCGGATGAGCATAAAAAAAGAAAAGTAAATAGAGTTCCAACTGAATTCACAGGTTTATATGTATAATCCATAGAAAGCAAATAGGTAATTGCTTTGAATTAGGTCAGTTTAGTAAAGATTTAAGGGTAAATTGCAGGGGGAGGGATATTTTCCTTTCCTTTTAGTTTCTAAATTTGAATGATTTTTATTTTCTGGATATCTTACCAAGTGGTTAATAAAATAATTAATAATTTATCTAGAAACAGAAATAAAAAATACGTCCAAGAATCCTCAAACTAGGTTTTGCCCTTCATAGACTTTTTAATTAGGCAGACTTGAAAAGGTAGGTTATTTGAAGATCAAAAGACTGAATTTTAAAGCAGGAGAATGTAGTCTTCAACACACACACAAAATCATACACTTAATTTTTTTATAAAACAACAGCAAAAACTTCTTACAATATAAAAAACATCTTTCAAGACTTTATATATATCTTGTATTTTACAAGTCTTATATATGAAAAGCAGTGATTTAATTGGTATTTTCAGTTGAACATCTGTCTTTTATTTTTTTTGGAATGTTTTTATTAGAAATAATAATTTTTTTATTAGGAATAATTTATATTACGAATATTTTCATTTATCTTTTTCAGCAATTAAGCTGACTTACTAGGTAGATTGATGTGTATTAGTTATACTTGTCAATTGTTTTCTTTTGTATCATCGTTATGCTGATGTTAAAAATATACTTGTTTTTACATTTATCTCTTTTTAAAAAAAATAATGCTGTGATGTGGGAAATCTCACTTTAGTTTCTTGCAAATGAGTCAGTTAATAATTCTGTCTTACTGAATGACCCATGCTTTCCCCACTGATTTGGATATCACATTTATCCATTTCTTCCTTCCCTATTTTGCCCTTTTTTATTATGTATTTCTGAGCCAGTATTGTTTTATTTTGTTTTCATATTTGATAAGGCAAGTTCCATCATTCTTTCCAGTTGTCTTAATAGAACCTGTGTATCATTGTATTTATTTTTTATAGTGATACTAAATGTTGACTGGAGGAAGGTTATTGATAGTTAAGAGCATTGGCTTTTCAGTCAGATAGAATGAAGTTTGAATCCAAATGCATGAACTGAGAAGTAATTTCTTTACCTCTTTTAACTTAAAGTTTCTTACAGGGCATGACAGTATCTACATGATAGTTTAAAGTTCTCTTGTTAATATTCTTTGTAGGAGTTTCTGGATATGTGTTACCTTTAAAAAACATATTCCTAACTAAAGTCTAAAATAAAACCATGATAATAAGTATTTTTAAAATTCTTTTACTGCCTTGCAGCTGTAGTAGAATCATAGGTTGGTTGGAAGGGACCTTTGCCATACAAATCTCTTCAGCAGCCCCAAGATGAGTCTGTCTTAAATCTGTAGATGCAAATGCTTCCTATCCTGCTTTCAAAGTCTCTGGTGAAAAACATCTTCTAATGAACAAGACGGAGGTTTTCCCTGAGCTTTTGAATAGGGGCAGGTTAACTGATTCTTTGTCATGGTACTTAATGGAGGAGTGTTGTGATATGCTATCAAATATCTTGTAAAGTGTTGAATATTATGAATTTTCAGTCACAGTTGATAATGTCATTCACAGCTTTTTCTACCATCATGGCATTTATTACATCTCTACTTGGATATCCATTGGCTGGTGCTAGAAATTCTTCAGATGCTTGGTGAAAAAATGAGTAAGTTTATGGATTTCTGATTTCTGTCCTTTTTCTAATCTAAGCTTTTATTGGTTTTTAAAATTACACAAGTAATAGGTGTTTTCTGATTTTTTAAAAATCAAATCATAGCCAAAGTAAAAAGTGAAAATTTTACTTCTTTTTTCTAGAGGTAACTACTAGAAACAGCTTAATCCTTTTATGTTTTCATACTTTCTATTAGTATACATATATAGTAACTCATATATAGGAAGTTTGTTTTGATTCCTACAAATGTTGTCATTGTTCTATGTGGTGCATATCATTTAACAGTTTTTTAAAGATCTGTTCATGTCACTACATTGTGTTTTACTTTATTCATTTAGCGCTGTATGTAAAGGGTCTATCATAACTTATTTAACGATGTTTATTTTTTAATATTTCAGTTATTTCCCCTTTTGATATTACAAATAATATTATACTGAACATCCTTGTGTACATGTGCATCTTTCAATACTTGTACAAGTTATGCTATAGAATAGATTCTTAGAACTGGAGTGGCATATTACAATTTTAATATAATGGTATATGCTCGCTGTTGCTGTAGAGTAAATTTCCCCAATATGTGTACACTAACTGGGACCATGCCTTTGCCTCGCACTCTTACCAGTGGTGGAAATTATCAATTATTTTTATTTTTTACCAAGTAATATGTAAAAAACTATACTCAATCTTTATTTTTGCAGTTTCCTGGTTACCAGTGAAGTTGAACAGCCTCACAATTTTATTGTCTTTTCACATTTTCTTTATTAATTCATGATCTTTTGCAAATTTTTCCATTTTAAAAAAAAATAGTAGAAGTTTATTACAGATAGTAATCCTTTATTTCATATGTTGCCTATTTATTCCTTGGTCTTGCTTTTTGGCATCTCTAGGTCCTATTTTATTTGTAAAGTAAATTATAAATCATTTAGTTTTATAAAGACATCCATTATGTCAATACCTGCTTTTTAATTAATTAATACATGCAAAAATACATATATGGCTCTATGTGTGTACACTTACATACATACGTACAAACATACAAAGAATGTACACAAATATATAATTTTTCTCTCTCATAGACTCTATTGTAAATAATATTTCTTTAGAGCAGTACTCAGGTGGACTTACTCTGATCTAGGTACAAATTTTTGTGTCATGTTTATTTGCTGTATTTCACAACAAAAAGGCACATAGCTACTTTATCATTTTTTAAAGAATAATGTTTTAAAGTCTTTATTGATTAAAAATATGGGTGGAGATTTTCTACTATTTACCTTCTTATTTTTTGCTCTTAAGTGATGTTGCTTTGTTGCTTTGTTGCTTTTGAAAGATGGTCACATTAAGAAAACAAGTTTATTGAATGGTCATTTGAAAGACTGAAACTTCTTTTAGGTGATATTTATCAGTGTTTATAAGAAAGGAATTGTAAAATTTAACTTTTATTTGTCAAAATTTGCTTTAAAATGCCTATGTCACAATTTTGTTATAAGTTAATTTAAAGGTATACAATCACTTTCCTCTTTTTACTGTAGTTTTAAATACAATTTATTATGTTTTTAGAACAAGTTGTGTATGGTCATCAGTTTATGAATCTGGCAGGTAACAATTTAACCAATGTCAGCCTATTTGAAGAACACTGTGAAAATCTCCTTTGTGATTTACTAAGCCTGTCACTCAGCAGATATGAGAAGGTAATGCTTTAAGAGTTTATTTGTAGTTTTGATACGTATCACAATAGTCAGTCCTTAAACCATATGGCTTAAACTATAAGAATTTAATCTGAATTCCTGTTAATTCTTTTACTTTTAAATTCACTACTATCTGGGAGTTGAACTAGAAAATAATTTGATTTAAACATTTAAAACAGGCTGAAATTAGTGGTTGAAAGCTGTTATTTTTTTAGTCTTTTCATCTTGTCAAAAATAAATAAATAAAAACAGGATGTTTATGATGACTGGATATCTAACTTCTATTTAATAGGAGTGGCCAGACTTTTAATATAATCTAGCATATTGTTGGTACATAATGAAAGAGATGATTCATTAATTAAAGTTAGTTAACAAACTTAGAAGGTGGTTTTAGTTGATACATTTTCAGGGTAGTTTCATTTGCTTGTTTTCATAAAAGGTCTGACATCATGGTGGAAATAACTTTTTGTTTTACTAAATTGTATTTATATATAATGTTTAATACAGAAAGAGATTTAAAGGTGTTACATGTTCATTTCAAGTAATGGAAATTTATAGATATTATCGTTTCAGATTAGAAGCATAAACCTAACTTTTGAGGAATCAGGATTTATAATTTTTTAAAAATGTAGATTGTTTTATGTATTATCAGTATCTCTTAAATCTAGTCAGTATGTTTACAATTAATATAATGAGTGGATTAATCAGATATGATTTAGTAATATCTTAACAGTTACCTTTTACTATGTATTAGAACTATATGTGTAATATATGTGAAATAATGTATATATTATGGATTTTAGAAGTTTAGCTATACTTGCAAATGTAGACAACTTTTCTGCATTATATAAAGCCATTGAAGATACATTTGTTATAAAAATGGTGAAATTGCTTAACCTTTATAAGTCTCTAATAATCATATTTATTCTGATTTATAAAACATTTTAGTCTCCTTTACAGTGAATCAAATATTTCTAATTTTTTTATTGCAAGTCTTTATTGTAGCTGATGGATTCGATCAAAGTTAGGAAACTATGATGCTGAAGCCAAATCTGAGACACCCCCTGTTTTTGTAAATAAAATTTTACTGGAACACAGCCCCATCCTTTTTTTTCACTGATTGACAATGGCTGGTGTTGCACACAGTGGCAGAATTGAGTACCTGTGCAGACTGTATCATGATTGAAGCCTTGAATATTTACTATCTGGCTCCTTACAGAGTGTTTGCTGATAATTGGTGGACTAGATATTTAATCAGAGGTTTTTTTACAAGTCGAAAGTAAAATTTGTTCTGTGCTTTTGGTATTATAATGGGATTTTTTAAGTCAATGAAATGACATTTTTAATAAAGAATTTTATGTAATTAAGCATACGTTTTTAGTGCTCTAAATCATTGTTTTAAAATATTTGAGAGGATGTGTGGCATGTACAATTCTGCTGTGTTATAAGTAACTCCTTGTGGCTCTTTTCTACAGGTTAGGCTTTCTGAAGCATTAACGAGTCACCATTGCCCATGTTCATGCATTAAAGAATTATGGGTTCTACTTATTCATCTTCTAGGCCACAGAAGTAAATGGTCTCTCTCAGAAGTAAGTTGTAAAATTGATGGGTTAGTTATTGTTGTTGATACTAATTACATTAAATTTATGTTGCAGTGGTTTTGGCCGAGAAGAATCTTACAGCGTTCCTTCTTTATAAGACAACAGTCACCACCAAACAGAGCATTAACTGAGTGCTAAATACCTGCTACATTTTTAATCCTAAATTGGTAATATGAAACATCTAAGAGACACATAAAACTTGACTGTCTTGTTTTCTCAAGGTGTTTTGTTGTTGTTGTTGTTCTATTTAAGAATCTGTTAGGCTAAAATATTTAATACCCTTTAGCAATTCAGGAAACATTTTAGTTAGGAAATGTGGCAGATTTAGATTTGGAAATAAATAAAACAGGTTTCTGTTACTCGATTTTACAGTATCTTAATTGAAGGTGGGATGAAGAAAAGCGCAAAAGGGAAGATAAGACATTTTCTTCCACCTCATTTTAAGTCATGTCTTCATAATGGGACTTTATTTTATTTCAAGTGTTGTAGATTAGGAGTAAAAGAAATACCCATAGGCAAAAGTATGTACAAACAATTCATTGTGAAATGATGCTTAAAGGTTTATGTTATATAAAAAAAGTACTTTTGTTATTTTATGGGTTTTTGAATTTTTCAGCTTTGCACAATCTGGAGTTTGGATGACTATATTTTTGCAAGTTTACAAGTACTATATTTATTTTGAGTTATTTTAATAGTAAATTTATTAAATACATGTAAAGTTTACTAAGTATATATTTATTGTATTTTTACTTATTATTAAGAAAAATTTTTTTCCTGGCATTTTAGTTTGTCAGTATAGTTCAGCTTTCCATGAGATTTAAATAGCACAAAGTCCCAGAAAATTTTGTTTCTCTTTGACTATTTGCGAGGATGTTTTATTTCTTTAACATGGTTAAAATCAATTTTTTAATTTTATACAAAGCTTATTTTTATTATTTAAGAATTACATATTTTCTAGAATTGCTCTTATTTTATAAATTTTTGACTTGAAAGTATAAACCACATATAGTTAGTGTAGGCATGTTTATACTGGTTACCATTAGTCTTTTTCTAGATTTTAAATAGAAAAATAGGCATAATTGAAAATACTAATTGTAGATATTTGCATAATGATACATAGTGGTTAACCTAAATGATTTATATATTCTTCACTTTATGTAGTAACCGAACTTATTTGTCTTAAAATAATAAATGTCTGAGGCCATTTCATTTTTTTAATATTACTAAAACAAGTTATATTCTCAGATTTCAAGGCCATTTTATTTTGAAAGTCAAATTAGGAGTTTATATTCTTTTTTGTTGTTGTTTGTTTATATTCTTGACAGTAAGACAGTTGGACCTTCCTGCTTAAAAAAAAAAAAACCTAATCTAATCATGCTGGGTACCCTGTAGTAGCACTGTAAGTGTGCCAGTGAGCTTGCAGGAAGTAGGAAGCATTGAGGCCCTATATTAATAATAGGTGGGAACTCAGGTCAGCTGACTACTGAAGCTACCTCATCAACTTAGACACAGTTGCTGAATTATATAAACTTGAACATTAGCTTTCATACATTATAATGTATAAGCATAGAAGATAAAGCTTAGAGTTGACCTAAGTCAATAGCCCACTAATACACCGAACTACTTCTAAATCTGGGCTCCCAAAAGGGTAAACTCAAAACTCAACTCAATTTGTAAGGAAAATTGCCTGTGTTTGACTATAGTGTATTGCAGTTTAAAATTGTTTGTTATTGTAAGCCATCAAGTTCATGGTGCCCAGATGGTGCTAAAATTTTAAGTCAGTGACTTCTGAACCGGTGATGTTGTCAGCAGCCATGGACAGTGGGTGGATACTTAAATCCACAGCTCTCCACTTAACTTCCCCCAAAATACAGAACAGCAAAAACAAGTAAAGCTACACAAGTGAAAAACATTTTGATAGCATAACTACAAGATAATTACAAGAACAAATAAAAACTACTCCTGTAAAGACCATGTTGATAGCATAACTACAAGACAGGAATATTCAAAGCTATAAATTAAAAGTAAAAATCACTAAAGTTCTACCACAACACTTTTTAGCAAGCAAGGGTAGTCAGAAAAATTGCTCAGAAGAGAGAAGGGAGCTAGTAGTAGTCATAAAGTTGGTCTAAAACCATTGCCATATTGTGAAAATAGCTGAAAAGGTTTCCGTGTAGATCAGAGAACTAATTGTAGAATAGGAACAATAAAAGTGTGTGTGTCTGGCTCAAGGAGGCAGTCTTTGAAGGCAATTCTTCTGGAGAATAAAGCAAAAAGGAAGTGCCCAGTCAGTCAGTCAATCCAGTGAAGAATGGGACTTTGATATATTGACAAAAGAGAGATCGCTGAACTAGGAATCTTAGAGTAGCCCAAATCTACAAAGTAAAAAGAAGGAAACCAAACAGGTGTTTCTAAAATTATATAAGAAAATAGAATTGATACACTTTTGCTGATGATATCCTTTCTCCCAGAAACAATTATAAAGCAGAAGAAAATTGTAAGACAACACTCCAGATGGAGTTAAATAGACAACCATTTGGGTTTGTAAAAAAACACCTTGAATAAGATACCCCATTGTTAAAAAAAAAATAGACGAAAAACCAGGAACGAAGGAAGTAAATGGAATGCAGGAGAGAAATGAAAACAAAAATCATTTTAGAATTGACTAAATTAGGAGATTCCCAAAAAGAATAGACTCAAATGAAAATTTAATAAGGAGCATGGAAGAAAGGCAGCCAAAGCAATAAAAACGAGAAAGGTAGAGAAAGGGTCAGAGAGGAAATGGTTGAAATGGAAGACAGGCAAAGAATAACCATGTTTAAATTGAGTCCCTAAAGAAGAAAAAAACAATGGAATATAACCAACATTTAAAAACAATGAATGAACCTAAGAAAACATTTCAGAAATAAAAGAGGCACTAAATCTGCATATTGAGAGGGCCTGCTGGATAACTGGGCAGGTTAATGCCAAACAATCCATGCTCAGACATAGCCCACTAAAACTATTTGACTTCAAACATACAGAAAATGTCTTCAGGTCCTCCAGGATGTCTTCAAATTCTTCAGGCAAAATCACCCAATAACTTAAAATAGCAAAATAATTTGACCTGCACTAGACTTCTCAAAAACGGCATAAAAACCAGAGAACCCTGGAACATTAAAAGGACTGAAAAAGCCTTCCTCCTTGTGCAGACACAGCCAGGAGTCAGTGAGTCAGAAGAGCGCCCTTACCCGACCATGCCTGGCACCCTGATCTTGACCCTTTAGTCTCTGGAATGGAATGAATTAACACTATGGCACAACAGAACAAGGTCTTGGCTTAGAGAAGAGGAATTTAGGTCCCACCTTTTAGGCTATGGAGATTATATGGACTGTAACCATGAGATACTCCCTTAATAAAAAGCTCAAGACTAAGAAAAAGTGTCCAAACCAAAAGGAAACAAAAACAGTAAAGAAGCAAGTTAAAAGTTATTCTCTGCCCTACTTCACATGCAGTGGCTTTGGGGAGTAGGATGGGTGTTGATTAGCTGAGAAACAAAAACAGAAAAAGCAATTGAAAGTTTCAGGAGGGACAGGGAAGTTTCTCTGTTTCATCTACCTGGAAGTTAATAATACCACAGAGTGCTGACAGTAGGCAGGCGCATATAGGATCTGTTGTTAGGAGCACCCAGACTGCTGAAAGCATAGATTTCTTTTTCTCTTATATAAGGATTTTAAAAATTTACAGTGTGACAGTATTGATTTATACAGTGTACTCAGTTTATTTCTTTTTAAAGAAATTGTATGTACACTATAATTCTTGCCAAAAGGAATATTTAATTTTCCCTACCCTCTGCCTCACCCCCCATTCCTGGAATGAGGGAGGGGGAATACTGAATGGGATTTGAAGTTTTCCCGCTGAGGAAGGGACATTTTCTGCAGCCAGGTCAGTGATTAAAGGATTACTCCTCTAAGGAAATTATCCAAAGGGGAGAGGTAGTTCAGGGTTATTTAGTTATTTTCAAATGTTGTCTGGGCTGCTGCTGACCTCTGTGAAGGCCACAGGATCCCCCTTTTCAGGAGGACAGCATAAGAAGCAATCAGAGAAGCCTAAGAGAGGCTTAGGAATGTTTGGGAATTTACACATACCCCTAATTATGTGGGAACTCCAAGAATCAAACTAATTAAATCAAGGGCATATTTGTGTCCCAGAATATATTCTAAACATGTAGCTAATACTGGGTATATCTGCATGAGTTTTCTGAAAACCTAATGCTCATTGTCTAGTAGACTTCAATTAGACTTCACTTTCCCAGAAGGGAAGGGAAGCAAATTAATATTCTTTGAATTATATTGTAAGCTTAAGTAAACTGTTCAAATAACAGAGTCAGAATATATAAAGCTGGATTTCAAATGCAAATTTATTTGATGCCACAGCCCATGGTTGTTTTTTTTTCCCTACCATATGATTATTAAGGAAGCGTGCGTTTTATAAAGTTAGAAAAGGATATGAAAGAGTAATGGAAATAATTTACTTTCTTTTGGGGAAACAGACCTAAATATATTTTATGTACACTCTCGCATTCCTAGAAGTGCTATAAATGTGAGGTAGGGGACACCTGTGCTATATACCATGTGCAATATAATAGAGTTTTGGGCCTGTATACATTATACTTCAGCTGTCACAAATATGTATATGTGTTGACACATTTAAGCATTACATACGGAATGTTACAGAAACTTTCTGTAAAATAAAAACTTAAAAATGCCAGGAAAAAAAGAGACTCAAAAAGTATGGGCCAATGATTTTACAATCTTGACCCTAGCAGTCCCACTTTTAGAAATATACACCTAGTATATACCTGAAACAATTCAAAAATACATATGCATCAGGCTATTTTATTGCCATATTGTGTATAAAAGCATAATATTAGAAACTACCTAAATGCCCATACACAGAAAAGTGATAAAAGAAACCATGGGATATCTGCACATTGGTATGTTATACATTTGTACAACAGAATGAGGAAGATACATGATCTGATAATGGAGTGACTTCTGGGATTTATTGTTAAATAAGTAAAGTGCAAAAACTATTTAGAGGATGCTACATTTTTGTGCAACAAAGATGAGGAAATATGTATATTTAGTTGTGTACAAAGAAATACTGGAAAGGCAAATCAGGAACTATTGAGATTGGTACGTAGGAATGGGAAATCAGTGAGCGAGAATGAAGTGAAAGGATTTTAATATGTTGTGCTGACTTTAGAACCATGTTACTCTTTCAGGTGCTCAGAAATAAATCAACATGTATGGAAAAGGAGGGTACAATAGAGTACAAAGAAAAACAACTGAAATTAACTGTATTGCTAGTGATTAACACTGAGGGGTGGGTAGGGAGAGGACTAGCCGAGGTAACTTAAATAGAATGCACTAGTCTGTGTACTCTAAGGCTAAAGATAAAAAAAAAAAAAAAAAAACACTAAATGGTGAAAATACTGAACTCCTTTTAGGAGATTTGTCTTTTACAGTGTTACATATGGATTAGCAATTTTAAGTTTACTTTTTTTTGTATTTTAGAACTGAGTAAATTTATAAGTATGTTGCGGGTTATTAGATCCAGCTAAGAAAATTGATAGGAAATTGAGTTACAGATATGGAAAGAGGAAAAGCTAGAGTGAACCATAACGTGTTCATTTGGATTGAAGTATTGGTATGAAATAATGGGTTTTAATAATTAGAACTAGATATAGATGTATATGGGTGTGAACACACTTTTTTCCCACCTTATCCACTGAGTGGGCCTAGAAACTATGATATAAGTAACAATGAGCAATTTCTAGCTATGTCTTGGTTCTGAAATAACCATTTTCCAGAGAAAGGAAATAAGCCTCCTTTGGTAAATAACTGATTCCAGGCTGTGGCATGGAAAATAAGAAAATGGGCCTGGAGCATTTTGTTTTAGGAGCTAAGGAGGTGTTCAAAAAATGATAAGGACATGTCAGAAGGACGTGAGAGCCAACATGAAAATCTTCCACAAGTCAAACCTGAAATAATTTGAGTAACAAAATAAATGATAAAAAAGGATTGTAATCTATACAAGAGTTGGTCAGTTCATACTGATATAAATAAATGGAGAGAAGGGTAACACTTTTATAATAAATGTAGAAATAATGATGGAATTAGAAAGCCACCAGTTGACAACCCCCATAGTAATTGTTTTAGGCAAATATGCTCAGTGGCTGCCAAAGTATGATGAAAAACAGAAACTTACATAGCTTGGTAAGTATCTCTACATGATATTTATCAGTTGTAAGGGAAGTAGTAACTACAGTGAAGGAAACCTGGCAGATACCAGTTCAATTTAAGTGATCCAAGTTAATCAATTATAGGACACGTTGATACTGTATACATTTAGAATGATGCATTCAAAGGACAAAAATGTTTCATTGATATTCCTGCCAAAAATGCATACTGTAAATCTAATCACCTAAGTAACTGGCCTATATTCTTTGAAAATATCAAAGTCATGAAATAAGTATCTGAAGAACAGTTACAGATTCAAAGAAACTGAGGTGACATACTAGCTAACTGCAGCATGGAGAATAGAGAAGATGTCTGTGATAGCATTCTAAGTGTAATTCCAAAGGAGAGGAAGTAAAAGTGGAACAGAGAATATATTTGAAGAGGCAGTAACTGAACATTTTCCAGTGTTAATGAAAGCTATCACATTAAGAAACCCAATGAATTTCCCTTAGGGTAAATAAAAAGGTAAGCACACCAGGATAAGCTACAATATAGTGAAACTTAGAACATCAAGGACAAAGAGAAGAGATTGAAAGCATTCAGACAAAAATGTTACCTTTAGTACAGTAACAACTAGACTGACAGCTAACTTCTCAATAGCAGTGGAGGCCAGTGGGAACGATATCTTCTCTTCCTTGTATTAAAACAATGCATTTGTCAACGTTCAGTTCTTCATTCAGCAAAATCTCTCTAGGGTGATGTAAAACAAAAGCTATTTTCTGTGGAGCAAAATTGAAAGGAATCCTAAAATATAATTTTATGCCAAAAATAATGATGCCAGAGTGGAGGTTCTGAAGTGTAAGAAGGAATAAAAAAACAGAAAGTGGTAAATGTTTTGTATAAATCAATAAAATCGAGTGGAATTTAAAAACAAAGTTGAACTACACAGTAATACTGGCATGTAAATTGGGAGGCCATAAATGAGTTAGAGTATTTTAAATATTTTGTCTAAGAGATGATATAAATTTATCAAGATCAGAACAGTCAAAAATTGGTTCTTCAGAAAGGTTACTCAAATTGGCTGATCTTTCTTGAGATGATTACAGAGTCAGTGTTAGAAATAAAGGAACGTGTCTTCAGATTCTTACATATAATAAAAGAAAGTTGAGATATTGTCAATAACCACATACCTAATTATATGAATATATGAAATGGACAAATACCTAGGAAAAAGTCAACTAAAACTCAAGTGTTCAACAACAGTAAATTAGGTAAATAGTTTTATCATGTAGTCATATACTGGAATATTCTGTTGAGCTACGGTAATACTCATTAATTTGGGTGAATCTCAGAAATATAATGTTGAGGAAAAGAGGCAAGTTACCAAAGAATAGAAACAGGCCACTTAATAGACACTTCTCCAAAAGAACATACAGATGGCCAATAGACGTATGAAAATATGCTCAAAGTCACTAATCATCAGAGAAAGGCAAATTAAAACCAAAATGAGATATCACCTCACACCTGTCAGAGTGGCTATCAATAAATCAACAAACAAGTGTTGGCCAGGATGTGGAGAAATACAAACCCTCATGTACTGTTATGGGAATGCAGATTGGTGGAAAGCAGTGTGGAGGTACCTGAAAAAATTAAAAATGGAACTGCCTCAGGACCCAGCATATGCAAAGAAACCCAAAACACTAAATTTAAAAGAATATGTGCACCCCTGTGTTCATAACAGCGTTATTTACAATAGCCAAGATTTGGAAACAACCCAAGTGCCCATCAGGAGATGAGTGGATAAAAGAGCAGTGTTACATTTACTCAGTGGGATACTGCTTGATCATAAAAAGAAGGAAATCTTATTACGCTTTGTGACACCATGGATGGACCTGGGGAATATTATGCTAAGTGAAATAAGCCAGTCAGAGAAAAAGAAATACAGTATGAATTTACTTATATGTGGAATCTAATGAACAAAATAACTAACAAAATAAGCTCCTAAATAGAAAAGCAGACTTTCAGCTGTCCGAGGGAATGGGCCTTGGGGAGATGGGAAAAAAAGGTAAAGAGATTAAAACAAAACTCAGACACAGATAACCTGGTGATTACCACAGGGAGGGGGGAGTTGGTGGCGGTAGAAGAGGAAGAGGACAAAGGGTACGGGGTGGTGAGGTGACTTGACTTGCAGTGGTGAACACATATTATTATATACAGATGATACAGAATTGTACACCTGACATCTATATATAATTTTATTAACCAGTGTCACCCCAATAAATTCAATAAAAATGTTTATGAAAGAATAAAAACATGCAGTAAAAGGAAACAAAACAAAACAAGAGGTGAAGCCAGAAATATGTGATTTGGGCTTATATAAGTATGTGGCAAAACTTAATGAAAACAAGGGAATGAATTATTATGAAAGTCAGGATAATGGTTACCCAGGTTGGGAGACAAAGATGTGATGTGGGAACATGTAGGGTCTTTCTAAAATACTGTGCATTTTCTGATTCTTAACATGGGTTTTTAAAACTGTTATTTTAGTTTTATGTATGTATTTTACATTCTCTTTTGTATGTATATTTCATTATAAAAACAGAGCAAAGCCCAAATCAAAGGTTATTGGATCAGTGTCTATTTTAATTGAATCATATTACCTCTGTTTCTATAGTCATTTTGGAACTGGTTGAACAAACTTCTTAAAACACTCTTTGAAAAGTCAAGTGACCAAAGAAGACCTTCTATGCCTGTGATCCAGCCCAAGGATCCATTAGGTTTTAGTTGGTGGATTATTACTCATGTAGCATCACTTTACCAGTTTGATCGCCATGGAGCACCAGATGAAATGGTAAGATTTTATTTTTTTAAACTTTCTTATATCACCAATTAATACATATTTTTGGTAGACAAATTAGAAAGTTAGCAGAAACAACAGCAAAAATCAAGTAATAAGCCTACAGAGAGATTCAGCTTTGTGTCTAGAAACTGTAGCCATCTTGAAAAATCGTGATATTTATGTTTGTATTGTTTTAAAAAAACAATTTGTAGAAGAGTTGGAATCTAGTCCTGTTTCTTTTACTAAGAGCTGTACTGCCTTCAGTGAATTACTTAAACCTTTCTGGGCCTCTGTTTCCTCATCCAGAGACCATGGGATTGGATTTTCGAAAGATTCCCTTATTTCCAGAATCTGTAAGATTGCCAAAAGGAAAGCATATTTCTCCAGAAATGAATTAGTAGATTTTGTGAATAATTTGTTAAAATTATTTCCTCAAAATGACATTTCATTATAGAAACTCTGCAGAAGTTATTTTCATCTATTAAACAGCCATGAAGCATACTTCAAATAGACACATTTTACAGAAACATTTTTTACAGTGTTATTTAAAAAGTGCTATGAATAAAACCAGCTGGTAGATATATTTATTTGAAGCCCTATTTGTATATAATTTCTTCCATGTTCAGAAATGAATAACATAGTATTATATCATTTCATTAGTTCCATAGAGTAAACATCTAGAATCTTGAAGCCAGTGTGTCTGTATTTTCAAAATTGTTTTTTTCTGGGAGTGGTTCTTAAACCTGGCTGATCATCAGACCTACCTTTGAGTTTTTTAAAATTCAGATTTCTGGGTCTCAACCCTGGAGATCCTGATTTAGTAATCTGTTTTGGAATTTGGAAATCCTTATTTTTAAAATGTTTTCTGGCTCTCATCCTGTATTTCTTTATGTAACATGTTTCTTGTTGGACTTGACAGATTTTCCTCTCTTTGGAATATTGGGCATAGTAGTCTGAGAGAGCTCCATGGAATCTGAGGGTCAGTTAGTATGGACATTGTGTCTATATAATGGTAATGGAAAGGGCCTCATGGGATCCTCGGAACGATCCCCTTAATAATAAAAGCCCTGTTAAGGGGATCCCAAGGTGAAGTAAAATAGAGTCAGAAAGTGCTCTGAGAAGTTCACACAGCTTAGTGTCAGTGTTATTTGAGATCTACCATAGCCCTGACTGGTGTGGCTCAGTGGTTTGGGCATTGTCCTGCAAAGCAAAATCTTGCTTGTTCAATTCTCTTTCGGGTTATATGCCTGGGTTGCAGTTTTGGTCCCCATTCAAGGTACATATGGGAGGCAGCTGATTGATGTGAGAGAGAAAAAATAAATCTTTTAAAAAAGGAATTCTGCCATATATTGAGTGAAGTCAATAGAAGGAGCTCTCATAGAGAAGGATTATATGTCCGTTGTTTCTTTACATGAGTACTTACCATGCTGAAACACAGTAAATACTCAATAAATGTTAGCAATTACCATTTTTACTATAGTATCCTTTTTATTATTTTTGTGAAGTTTACATGATAACGTTTCACATCTTAACTATTAAGAATATTAGAACAACATTAAAAGAACTAAAAAAAAAATCTACCTACAATTCTAAGGTCTTTACTTAACATTTTTATTTGTCTTCCAACCTTAATTCTTGCAAGTACATATTTCTGATTTGAATTGGTATAGATAAATATGGTAATTAGTTAAGCACTTCTGAGTCCCTATTGAATGGCCATTATAATAATAAGTGTCAATGATATGATACACATGAAACAGATTGTACTGCCTCTTTCTTCAAGGAACATGTTTTCAGGGTATTAATGCTTGTTGAAACTGCATTATTTTGAGTGAGTGGTATATTTCAATAGTGGTTGCTGTTGAACCCCAGTAGCCACATTAATATGTATCATTACTGTTACTATTGTAATGTTGAATTGTACTAGTACAAACATCCACAGTAGCATTGCTGAAATCACTCTTCTATTTCATACAGAGAAATCCATAGGAGATTACTGCTTTTACTAGCTGAATCAAGATAGTAAATGAAGTTTCTATATTTAAAATAGCTTAACCTTTGTGTTTTAATATTTTTCAGCAGTTCTTGTGTGATCTTTTTCTGCCAAGATACAGGTTCTTTAAAATCTTAATTCTTTAAATTATGTAAAAGGTTTTCAGAGGAAAGAGTTATAATATTTGAAAAAGAACCTTTCATATGACACAAATAATAAAGATGTGCAATACGTATGTACATGTGTATGTGTAAAATACACCACTTTTATTCATGAGCCCTCAGAGTCAAATATTTATGGACTTTTTAATGGCTTTTAAAGAAAAATGCAAGTTTTCCATATTAGTACTAGCTTTCATTAGGGGCCATACCTTTAGCATATTGCATTTGCAAATGGTTTAATATCTCACAGTGACTGTTCAGTTTTTATCTCAGTGCAGCACTATGAAATAAGTGAGAGGGTAATCTATGCATCTTACAAGTATAGAAACTGAGGTACAGAGTGTGTAAGTATCATCCTATTTTTACCACTTAAATTCGATGTGAGGACATTCCTAAGGAGTCTTGCAGAATAGGTCTTTGGTAGGGGAACCACGTCCACCAGTTTGCCATCCTCAGTCCCAGTTTATGCCTGCTGTCTCTCATCCTATCGGGTGAGCTTCTCCTTTGACTCTCAAAAATTTCTCACTTGGTTTATAAATCATGTAATCTAATCTATGAACATAAAGACATGGTGACTTATCAGAGCTTATATAGGATGTTAATTTGGATCTTAGAGATATTTAGATTAGAATTTTGAAAATTATCTGAACTTTTTTTTTCTCCTTAAGATGTATTAGCATAACCAGCTACCATGAAGAAAGTGGTTATGTATTAAAAGTGCTTTATTCCACTAAAGAGTTGTCTGGTGTGTGAGGATGATATGAGGTAATAATGGTTAGTCATATGTTCCTCAGCAAAGAAATATGTCCGGTCTTATGTTAACCATAGAGATGTTTCAGTTTTTAAATGTGAACTTCTTTGCCCTGAAGGTAAATGTGAAATTTTTACATTTTAAATAGGTTCAGATATAGTTAATTTTTTTTATTTTAAAAGTTTCTCTAAATGGACTTTTGCTATATGTGGGATTAAATCACAAACTTGCTAACTGCTTCCTGGTAGGTCTATAAGGAAATTTGGTATTTCTCATATTAGAGGGTTTAGGTTTTCATACATTTCTGCCTAATGCTTTTCTCAGCCTAGATAATGGTGTGTTATCCTCTCACAGTCCTAACCATCTATTTTAAAAGCAAATACAGTTTAAGGAGAAAAATTACCTTTGCGCATTGCAAGCATCGGTTTAACAGAGCTGTCCCTGCCCGTGAGTAGTGCAGCCAGGCAGGCCGGCTGATGTTCTTCTTTGAAATTTGAAATGACAAGAAGATAACAGGTGTGAAATGTAACCTGTGTTAATATTGTTAAGACATTTGTAATTTTATAGAAATACCACTGTTTAATGAAACTACTCCCTGTAAGGTTTGTATTGGACTGGGATAGTTGTAAAATTTTTCTACTGAGTCTCCACCAACTCGGCCAAAGTATTTTTAGACATTCAAGAAGCTGTAGTAAGGTCTGATGTTTGACAAAATGTTTGTACTTCACACTTAACTTGCTATACCATAATTTAATTTATAATTAAGAGCAGTAATTTTGATGCAATAATATTTTTTTCTTTCCTAGAGACAAATGGAATCAAATTGGATCTTTGTAGAAGAACTGCTGAAAAGGTCTATCAGTGTTCAGGTATGCATTTAAAGTGAGACAATTTGTGGGCTTTGCTAAATTTTTATATTATAGATTTTATTTGTAAGAACCAAGCAAACTTAAAATGATTTAAGTGAAAAACTTAGTTTACTTATTAATAACCTGAGATAGAAATAATCATTCTTTGTTAATGAAACATCAATGTACAGTAACCCCTATTAGTGACTGTCCTTGGAAGGTTTTTATTTTTAACACCCAGTTGTCAGTTAAAGGACAAAGATAATTATCCTAGTTGGTGACTTTGATAAAATATATTCAAAATAAGTAGTAGATGCTTCAGAACTTAAGCCATTCCTTGGCTGAATGGTATCAAGTCTAGGAGACACGATGAGGGAGATAGTGGCATTGGAAATCCAGCTCTGTCCTCATCACAGCAGGAAGGGGACTTGCCTTGCTGAGCAATTTGTCTTACGGGCTTGAATCGTGCTCTAACTGATAAGGTCCTAGCTTCTGAGCCCTCATTTCATACCTTATCATTTTTCTTTCTGCAGAGCTGTTAATGTAGTGCTTCATGGCCCACAGGTCAGATTTGACCTCCTTTGAAAATAGTTTTAAATGTGCTCTTCATCACATCTTTAAACATCCTGTACTGTAGCTCTGTGAAGTTTCGTAATGTTATTTATGTAAGAGTTTAAGGAAAAATTTTAGTAAAGGATTCTTTAAATTGGGAAGTAGGTTACTTTTGTGTTAAATACAGATTGTTAAAACTTGAAGAGGAACAAAAAGGAAATATGGTAGTAAAAGATTGCTCTCTATATAGCACACACATGCACACACATTTATTTTATAGCCATATCTTGAAAATCAAAATAGCTTGCAATTTTTTCCCTATTATCTATGTTAATTCGTAATATTTTAGCTGAAACATATAAGTGCATTTAGTTATAAATCTTCTTAGTATGAGCTGAGAATTGTAAGTTAGAATTCCAAAGACCTTCGCATACTTAATTTATACCAGGAACAAAAGAGCTATTCCAATTACTGTGAAAGTTTTGGTTTATTTTTACTTTTTCTGTATCATTTTAGTGGCCATTAAAAGCTAACATTTAGTTAGCTTTATTCTCTGTTGGTTTTGAAACCATATTGATTTAGCAACTTAAAACATTTCTTTCATGTTATTTTTAAATTCAAGAACTTAGGGAATTGCTAAAAAATGGTCATTGTTATATATAATAACTATTAATCCAATCTTAATGCCTAGCATAGCTTAGAAACCTCTTAAACTTACTTTCAGCTCTGCAGTTTTTAATGCATGGTTTTGTTCTGTTAGGCTTTAAATTACAGAGTATTTCTTTTAAAGGCTATAAAGGTTTATATGAATAAATGTCCATATACCCGTGATGGTCAAGGGCAGCAGGAGAATTTATCATCTGTCTTCCATAGAAAAGTTTGCTTTTTGATGAAGAGATTGAAAATTCTCTTTAAACACATTTAGTTGTTTTAAAATTAATATTGTTTAGTTTGGATTGTGACTTCCTATAATTTTGATTTTAAATGAAGGCAACTTATCTTCAAAAAAAACTTAGTTGTAAACCTTATTCATAATGTGATAAAACTTATTCTGACATTGCATAGTGTACTTTTACAATGTAACTAATATTTTAATGGTGTCACCAAAACTATTTGAAGATAATTCTTGGAAGTAGGATTACCATCTGAATTTGCCTGGCTTAGGTTTTCCTGAAATGTGGGATTTTCAGTGCTGAACCAAGGAAAGTCCTGAGCAAACTGGGACAAGCTAGTCATTCTAGAAGTAGTGATAGTACAACTAATCTAAGAAGCTTTCCCTCTGAATTTTGGTCTAGCATAAAGACAAAGTAATACCTTTCCTGTGAAAGAGGCCACTATAATATATACAAAGGAGTAGTTCATTCTCTAGTAGTCTTTCACGTTTTTCATGCTTTGATTGTATCAAATTAGATTTTATAAATAGTATTGGACTACTTGCTGGAGTTTTTGAAACCAGTTTTGCTGGGTGCAGTAGGTGGTTATAAAGAATAAATAGTATTTTGGATAGAGCTATCAGGCTATCAGTTTGATCATATCTGTTTTTCCCTATTGAGGTACATTAAAATCTGACCATCTTCATGTGCTTTGACCTCATCTCAAACAGTGAAAGAGTCATTTGCAATATTTCAAAAAAAAAACAAACATTTCACATTTAGAGCAGTCTTCAAATAAAATTGATAGACACTATATTTTTAATTAAGCAAATAAGGTTCTGAATCTTGTTATAGCTAGAGAGGATCTTCCAGCAACAGACATTAAACTTTGTTAGTGAAGAGAACATATATTTAATTTTACTTATATAGATACAATGGAATAGTTAAGTATTTTCTATAAAAACAATTTTTTTAGTGGCAATCTTATTTAATATTTGTGAATGCTAACAGTAAACACTTATTCTACCTCTAAGACAGCATTATTGTTTTCATATGAAAAGGGAGATTTTTATTTTTCTGTTACCTACTTTTTAAAGTCTCATTTTCTGAGATCACAGATGGTCTTAGAAGAGTATAAATCTTAAGCAAGTCTAATATTTTTTTAAATATTATTTTCATTTTTCAAAGAATTTGGAGAACCCAAGGCTAAAAGCAATTCTGAATATGATTAGATCTGAAAGATATGGAACAATACCCTTTTAATTACTAACTCAAAATCATTGCGTTTCTTGGAAGAAGGATCTTGACTGGGATATTAAAGTTAAGCTCTCTGTTCAGTCCTAAAAATAAATCTAATCAGACAGACTGACAGTTACTACTTAGCTTTCAAATACATTTTTTGAGGGTAGCTTCCTTCACTGAGTAGTTTATGCACGCGCACACGGCTGAGATGAGACACCCAGAGAGCCCATAGTCAGCATCTTCTGAAAAATGCAGGAGCTCTGGGGTTGAGCCAGACAAGTTTAAGGCTGTGTGGAAAAGAGGCCCACAGGACTGGGTTATTAAAAAATCTTTAATCAAAGGGCATAGATTTCGATGTCTTTAATGAAACCTTTTAGTTTAGGTAGAATTTGACCTTAACACTCACAAAATTGAAATATATCAGCTTAAGGTACAATACTATGAACCTGTTGGATTTATTATTTCATCATTAAGTGTCAACATTTGGCCTAAAAAAAAGACATTTCTTTTTTTGCAGGTAACAAAATAGCTACCAGTATAGCTATTCCTGTGCAAGCACTGTACTTAGCATTTAATTACATTCTTTCACTTAATGAATACGACAGTCTTGTGTAGTTTCATTTTACACATTAAGAAACTAGGGTTAGGAGGGTCTTAAGGAGCTTGTTCAGGTTCACACAGCCAGCTAGAAAATGGTAGAATTGGGAGTTGAATCTTCATATGTGTTTTGCTTTCTATGCATTCCCTCAAAGCATCTATCTGACTTTTGTAGGACTCTTAATAAAACTCATTTTGTTTTCAGTATTTCTATTTTAAAAGTTCTTTGCTGCTATGTGTTTGATTAGTAATCCATTTTGGTTTCTAGATCTATTTTGGTGATACCTGTGGAAAGCATATCAGTTTTCCATATTTTCCCCCCTCTCTAATAAGTGTGTGATGGGGAAAATCTAAGGTAGAAAGAAATTCATATGCTCAGTTGTTCTCAGATATTCTTCCTCACAGTAGTTCAGCTAATTTTTTTTTTGTAGTTATGAATTTGAGCTAAGATGTCTGTTGCCTACTCTACTCCAGACTATTATGTATTCCTATTTTTGCCTAACTGGATTTGAAAATGGGCAAATCCTTTGTCTCCTTAATTCCACAGGTGTGAACACACAATTTTTTAAAGGAAAGTTTAAAGAAAAAACTAAGGGAAAATGGCTCAGGACAAAATAATGGCTGAATATGCAGAAGATGAAAACGTATTTTATAACAAGTAGTGTTTGTAATTAATTATAGGCTAAAAAAAAAACTTTTAAAATTACAACCAGCTGATTGATTACCTGTGTTGCCAGAACTGTGGAGAAAATGGTATTTTTAAAGCCATTTCTTTTCATTTTAATCTGTAGCCACTAGCAGGAAAGTGAAAGGAAATTTATCTCCTTACTTTTTAAAAAATAAAAATACAAATCCCTTAGGACGCCATATTTAATTTCTTCTTGATTGGATAGAGTGGAAAGAGCAAGCAAGGGCTCTGGCCCTACAAACTTTGATTTAAATCTTGGTCTGGTCACTAAGAGCAATTTTGATCAAATCTGGTGTCCATTAAATGTTCATTTCTTGTCCCTTCTGTTTGTGGAAGGGTGTGTGGATTAATATGTATAACAAGCTTTGTAGTCATAAATCCTAATTTCCAAGTGGATTTTGGTAAGCCATTTGTAACTTCTAAACCCCAACCTTTTTTCCTGTGAAATGAAGGTAATAAAACCAAGGTGGTATGAGACATACATGAGCTTAGATATTTAAATGTCACACAACATCTGACACATACTTGGTATTTAAACCTTTTATTTTTTGCAAATTTCATATATGTTTATGGTTTAAATACCTCTCTGAGGATTTACATGTATGTAAAATAGTCTTCAGATACCAAATAAAACACAACTCTTCAAAATGCACCCACTTTTTTTATAACACACTTTTTAACCTTGCATCATAGTAAGATTAGTATAATCCATGTCAGTGGTACGCCACAGGAATGAGCTTAGGCCTAGTTTAACATTTCCATAGTAAAATCAAAGAATGTTAGTGATAGACAGAAAACTGTCTTCTTTGGTTAAATGCTCCTAGTTATCTCCTAGAGAAGCTAAACGTCTTTTCCTCAGCCATATAGCCACTTGCTGAAAAGAGGCGCCAGGACCCAGATCCTAGTTTTGTTCATGAAAAATTGATGGAGTCTCTTTGGTGAACCAGGCACTATGCTAGGCCCTGGGAACGTTATCCGAGCCCTCAGACAGCTCATAGACACTTGAAGGCGTATGAATATTAAGTTTAACAAAGTAAGTGCTATGATACAGGTGTATATATTGTACTACGAAGTATAAAGTAAGGACACTGTTTAGCATGGAAGGTAGCAAGTTTCCTAGAGGACTTGAACCTGGAGTGTATACTGAAGGATTAATCATTGAAAGAGTTAAGGCCTTGTCAAAAAAAAAAGTCTGCTCATGTTTCATTCACTGTCATTCATTAAGAAATTCAGGACCAAGATCCCTTTTTTGTGTATATTTGTATACTACTTGTTAGTGACACCAACATTATTGTGTGTAATTGACCTGTCCTTTAAGTTTTTTAATATCCTCACATATAATTGGATTTTGTTTTACTTACCTCACCCACCTCCACCCATGGTTATGATCTACATTTGTTTTCTTATTTTTATTCTGCCTATCACGATTTTCATTTCTTACCTTCTTTTATAGCCACACTTTCCTCTTTACACAATTTAGATTACATATATAACCCCTTATTATGGTAACTCCATTGAGATTGTAAATCTCAACTGACACTTTGCTATAGAATGTTTGCTTTTCTGCTCTCTAAAACGACTTATTTCACAATTTGTTTTTCACGCACAATTCAGTACATGCTCTGCCCCAATAAACTTAGCTAAATGTCTTGCATCATAAATCATTGAAAAATGGACCAATCAGTAGAGAATTCTTTTATCTTTGTACTTTTAACTATCCCAACATGTCTGGTCTGTACTCAGCCTCTTAATGTGGTTTGCTGTTATATCAGAAGTGATGCTCTTTCTATCAAAGGCTAAGTCCTTTCTCTGTGCACTGGATCTGGTCTTTTCTTACCTGTTCAAGGACTTTATTTATCCTCACTTAAATACAGTAGTTCCCCCTTAACTGTGCACTTGCTTTCCCCATTTTCAGTTACCTGTGGTCAACAGCAATCCAAAAATATTAAATTGAAAGTACCAGAAATAAACAATTCCTAAGTTTTAAATTGTACACGGCTCTGAGTAGCCTGGTGCATTCTTGCCATCCTGCTGGGAAAGTGAATATTCCCTTTGTCTAATGTATACACACTGGACACGCGACCTGCTTCTTAAGCACTTAGTTGCCATCCTGGTTATCAGAGAGACTGAGACTACATTCACATGACTTTTATTATAGTATATTGTTAAATTGTCCTTTTCTTTTACTGTACTTAATTTATAAATTAAACTTTATCATAGGTATATATGTAGAGGAAAAAACATAGCATATATAGGATTCAGTACTATCCACAGTTTCAGGCTTCCATTGGAGGGGAGTCTTAAACTCTATCCCTTGAAGGTAATGGGTACTACTGTATCTCTACTTCCTCACCTCTTGTTGTCTTCTTAGCTTACTATGGTTAAGCTTCTGTCTCTGGCATCCCCAAAACTATTCTTGTTTAGACCACCAATGTCTTCTATACTGCCAAATCTGAGAATCATTCTCATTTTAATCTCTCAGTAGCATTCAACCCTGTTGACCTCTGTCCCTTTCTGAAAAACTGCTCTTGGCTTACATGGTGCCTGGTTTATTTTCTGCTCATTGGAGTTGCTAATAAACTCCTTTTACCTCATGTCTAAATGTTGGAATAGCAGGGGCCTCTCAGTTCTGGATCCTTTTATCTTTTCTATCTGTAGTCTTTCCTTAGTTGATCTTACTATCTAACCTCTTAACTCTAAAAACTGTCAATATGAAGGTAACATCCAAATTTATATCACCAGCTCTGACTTTTCCTCTGAGCTCTAGACCCATATGTCAAAATGTCTACTTAGTATCTCCACTTGGTTGCCCTGTGCACTCTCCCATCTCTTCGTCCCCTTGTCTTTGCCATCGCAGGAAATATATAGTATCATATATAATACCATCAACCCATTTTATTAAACCAAAACCCAAGAGTACTTAATTTCTCTTTTTCTTTCTGACCTTAATATAACTCATCAACAATAAATGCCCTTGCCTCTGTTTCCAAACATTTCTCTAAAGTTGTCTGCTTATTCAGTCTTACAGTTTTATGGAACTACCTCCTAACCTTTAGAGGTGGCAGAAGGAGAAGGAAGTAGTGGGGACAAGTAGACAATTTAGTCTAGTATATTTTGGTGGAATAATCATGGTTGTTTGTTAAAAAGTGACACACAACCAAATTGCTGTAATTCAACAGTTATTTATTTAAAGCTTACTATATAACATGCACTTTCAGGTCTCCCCGTACATCTGCCTGTACATGACCTCTTCATCTGCTTTTCTGTTATATTGCAAGTGTCACTGTTTACCTTCTTACTGGTCTTCCTGCTTCTACTCTCATCTACTATATTCATTCTCCAGGCAGGATCCAGTGCAGTCGTTTTGAAACTATCACCTCATGTCACTCTTGTGCTTTCAAAATCCTAGTGGCTTCCCAGCATATTTAAAATAAAATCTGAACTTCTTACCAAGACTTATAAGGACCCAAATGAGATATAGTCCCTGACTGTTTCTGACTTAATCCTACAACACCAAGCTTACTGCTAATTCCATGTGCTTTCTCTGTCATGCATGCTTTTCTTTCAGGTCTTTAAATGGCTGGCTCTTTTTCATTCAGCTGTCTAGCCCAAGTGCATGCCCTCAAAAGGCCTTTTCATTCTTAGTCCCTGATATAATAATGATCCACGTCCTCCAAGAGTCACTCTGCAAGATTATCCTTTGTTTTGTTTTTTTTACAACAGTTATAATGGTTTACATTTGTCTCATTTGTTTCAGTATCCTCTTTTACCATTCTCCCCACAGTGTAAGTTCTGTTAGAGCATGCATCATGTCTGATTTATTCATGGCTTTCTTCCTAGTACCTTAGAATACTATCTGGTATATAATGAGCTTTAAATAAATAATTGTTGAATGGCTGGCATTCAGTCATATGTCACTTTTTAGCAGTCATGCATGGTTATTTCATCATGGAAGAGTAGATTAAATTAAGGTGTCTACTTTTTTCTTACTTCTTCCTCCTGCTGCACTTCTTGAAATATATGTGCTCTGTCAATCCTCTGGTTTTTAAAAGAGCAACTCTTATATTCCTAGAACGTAAATGTGGCCTTATGTACATCTTAATTATTAGATCATTTTTGCTACTTGTTTTTGGTTTGGGTTTCTTTTCCACTCTCTGGATTTCCTACACCATTCAATTATGAGACACCTGTTGTAATTTTTAAATAATTGAGTTAAAAGTCAAATTGAATTATTTAGTGTCCATTATCTGAATATATTAATAGTCTCTAAAGAAAATCTTTCGACATATACCTTATGCTGATTTAGACTTTCTGGTCTGAAGATGGCAGTGGATATGATTTGGTGATGTATATTCGTATTCTTTTTAGAAGCAGGTTGTTTAGTACAGTATCATGCAGTGATATTCATGTTGCCAGAACCCATTTACTTCCTCACAATTTCACTTTATTTTTTAGGATGGTATACTAGAAGAGCAATTACGAATGTATCTTCACTGTTGTTTGACACTTTGTGATTTCTGGGAGCCGAACATCACAATTGTCACCATTCTATGGGAATATTATAGTAAGAACCTGGTGAGTGAATAGGATATGAATTTGTTCCAGGAATGTGAAGAATTTGTACATGATATTTGAAGAATGTTTTTATGGCTTAATTATGAATAGTTTTCTTAAAAAGTTAACTTTTCAAAGTAGATTAGAACAGCTCAAAAATAAGTTTATCTTTCGCAAACAGATGTGTTTTCTAATAATTCTGGATTGCTTGCAACACATTGAACAGTTAATGCTGTCCTGAATAAGACACAGCCTTGGCATTTGTGCATACGCTGTTGGGCATATATTGTATACAAAAGTTATAATGCTGTGGAATGCCAGAAAAGGGAGTATATGACCCAGTGTATGGACTTTTGGAAGACTTCATGGAGTCATAATTTTTTAACTTGGCCTGAGGAATGAGTGGAATTATCCAAATACAGAAGAAAAAATGCATCCAGGCAAAAAGAAAGTATGGACAAATGTATGGAGTTACGAAAAAAAAAGAACAAAACATGGTCTCTTTCTGCCACGTTAAAGAGTTCTGAGTGCTAGGTCTGGGATGACTATGAAGAGAGACAGGAAGTAAGGAAAATAGAGAGAAGGTAGACTTGGGCTAGATGATGGAAAATTGAAGATAATGTCCAGTTGAATTGTGATTTATTAGGATGTATTAGAGAGCAAGGATGTGATGTATTTGGTATGTGTTTGAGCATTTTTCTGAAAAATGGTATAAATGAATTGGGTACAGGTAAGTTAGTAGTCCAGTGTAGTAGTATAACCAAATAATGCAGTGAGCAAGACCTAAAATAGGGATAATTGATTTAGAAAGGAGAGGATAAATTTGGAAGATAAAAATTTTAAAAGTAGAATTAAAGGATTTAGTTACCTGTAATGTGTGGAAAGATCTGGAATGTTTGGGTTTCTGGGTAAATAGTGAACCCCTCACTCAAGATAGAAAATGGAAATGGAAAATTTACAAGTAAATGACAACTTTGGGTTTGTACATAATGGAGTGTATTAGAAATGAGAAAACATAACTTTCCCTGAATCGTAATGTCAGGTTGACTGGGGAAATGGCTGAATCTAGTTCTGAGGCAGAATGTGTCCAAGATGAGTTTGTATATCTTTCTTATCATAACAGAAAACAGGAGGAGTAGGTATCAGAGTAAGCCGGAGTCATGTCAAAAGGTTGAAGGAGCTCCCATTGCTCCTTGCTGGGTAAATTTGAGCTTAAGAAGGAATAATGACTACTGTGGATTAAAACGTACCAAATATGTTTAAGTCCTTGAGTTTATGATGATTCAGAAACATTATTCTGAGAAAAAAAGCCCTTCTTCTGAAAACCGCAAATAAAACTATATTTTAAAGTAGCCAAATTTCTGATGAGCCAATTCAGAAGGCAAGATAGAATTAGAAAATCACTGATTTGTACATATGATGAAACAGAGTATCTGGGCAGTGATCATCAATGGCTGCTAAAACTGTTAAATAAAAGGCTGCTGGGGACCTCACTAAAGTGGATACATCAGACTGACAGTGTAATCAATCTTAACATCAGAAACAGGAACAGTCAGAATTTATGTGCTTTTTTACTCATTGCAGTAGGAAGTACCCAGTACTACCAGTGAAAACCTCTTTATAAAAACTTGGCCTCAATCTGATCAGTCCTCTAGATATAGCTACCGATTTATAGAAAAAATAGGGGATAAAAGAATATGTTAAGTGACGCTAGGGAGATGCAAGCAGCTAAGTCCAGAATATAGGAAATTCTACACAGTAAATGACTGGATATAAAAATAAATGGTATGACAAAAGGTTGGGAAACTTACAGAATAAAAGAGCTTTCAGAGACAAGTCAACCAATTGCAATGTATGGATCTTGTTTGTGTCCTAATTTGGACAAGCCAACTGTTAAAAAGACATTTAGGGGGGGCGATAATCCATGAATTTAAGTACCCCTTGATGTTCTGTGCTTTTATGGAATTTTATTTGGGAGGAATATAGTAATGGCTGTGTAATTTTTGTGATTAAGATGAACCAAATTTTCAACGAACTAATTAGGATTTGCAGCTTTCCATTTTTCTTTACTCAGAGACTTAATACTTGTTTTCTTTGTTTTTTTTTATGCTTGTAGAATAGTACTTTCAGTATTTCTTGGCTTCCTTTGAAAGGCCTTACAAATACTACGTCACCCTTGTCTATGCTAGAAACAGTGGAGACCTGTTGCTCTGATAAACAAGACTACAACCTGTATGAATCCAGAAGTAGTTACATCATTTTCCTTTGCATTTTGGCCAAAGTTGTTAAGAAAGCAATGAAGCACAATGGTCCGCATCCTTGGAAACAAGTCAAAGGAAGGTGTGTGCCATATATTTCTTTTTCATGAATATTCACATATATCTTTGGAGAAGTGTTACTGTTCGTATTTTTTAAGTTAACTTGTGCTTGGGGGTCTTTATGGTTCACACATTTAAAATGTGTTCCTTAATGTAGGACAGCAAAATATGGAGCTTTTTGAGCCTGCCAATTTTTCATAGTAAGGGAGAAAAGTAACATCGATAACTTGTGGAGGATTTTAATTTATTTTTATCTTATCAGTCCTAAAGGTTGAAATTTTATATACTAAATGCAGGTATATTTTAGAACTGTTGTTTTTCTTACCAGAATTAATGATAATGTTATGCAATTCATTGCATACACTTTATTAAAAATTACAGAAATAAAAACTGTCCAAATCATATATTAGCAAATAGTAGATTCCAGCTATGAATTTTGTGTTCTTTGAGCCCCGCAGTCCCACACGCCCTGCATTCTTGAATGAACACTAACCAGAGTATAGTGAACCAAATAACTCGAACGTTTCCATTTGGGGAGTATGCCCAGTTTTAACTTCTGGTGCAGTAAACTTTTGTCGCATTTTGTCTATTCTCCTTTTCCTAAGAGTTTTGGTTGTTACACGGGTATGATTTTGGCCTTCCCTTGTCCGGCGTCCCTTGCCGGCCAGCCCCCTTCCAGCCCTCCTTGTGCACGCGCCGCCCCCTCCCGCTTGCTCAGCCTATGGGTAGGAGTTCTCACGGCAGAATGCTTCTTACCCTCAGTAGGGACTTCTCAAAAATCACTAAGTGAGTTTCTTTTTGATTACCACAAGGAATAATTCTTGCAAGGTTATAGTGATAAAGTTTGGATTTTTTTTAGAATATACTTTTTTTATGGTATCTTTGTCAAGTACACTTGGTGGCTCAGACAGTAGTTTTTCTTTTAATGCATTTGCTAGTTTGTTCTTGAACCTTAATCATTTTATGGAATACATAATTCTCAGAACTTTATTGCTAAAAGGGATCATTGGAATTCATTAAATAAAAAGTCTATTAGGAAATACTTTATACCAAGCACTATAGAGGGCCTGGCGGAGGCTGTAAAGATAATTAAGCAGATCTTTACTTTCAGGGGCATAACAGCTCTATCATCTACAAACAAACATTTAACCCCTTATGAACATTAATCATTTCTATCTTGAATAAGCTAATTATAGAAGCTATAAAATTTAACAATTTGTAGGTAGGATTTAAGATGAATGATTTTTAATTCTAATCCCTTAATTGATTAAAAAAAAAGTACCTCAACTATTAAAATTATTAAAATTATGTTAAGTAGTATTGAAAAGAGACTTTTAAATGTTTGTGTCAAACATTTTAACACTAACAATTTTTGTTTGTGAGAAGGTAAAAATAATCTTTCTAGCACTGTGAATTGTCTTAGGGTGTAAGTGTAGCAAGAGTAAGTATTTTGTGAGAGAGAGAGGGAGAAAAGGTTTAAGGAAAATTGTTATATATAAAATTGTCCTGTTAAGATTTTTTTAAAGTACATAAAATTGTACTTAAAAAGATTATATGTTCTTCTTTATTGGTCAATGAAATTTTAAAAAGAAATGTGATAGGGGACCAAAGGAAAAGTCATGACTATATGCAAAGAACATTTCTACTGTCCTTTGGGGAAAGCCACTGAACCCTTTGATTCACTTACAGGTGATCTGCTGCGTCATTGAGAGATTTGAAGGTAGGGGTATTCTGTTCCTTTGTTTTCTAGGTGGACAAGGTGACATGGCAGCATTGTCATGAAGAATTAGCTAAACATTTACACTAATGAGATTCATGAGTATTTATACTCTTAGTATAAAAGATGAATTTTTGTAAGTGAAACAGTTTTATTAAAGCAGTTTTTATGTTTTACAGAATATATTCCAAATTCCATCAAAAAAGAATGGAAGAACTAAGTGCCGTTGGTCTGCAGAATTTTTTCAACCTTTTTCTACTGTTAGCAGCTGTTGCAGAGATAGAAGATGTAACAAGTCATCTTTTAGACCTCCTGAATTTCCTTAAGCCTGCCTTAAAAATATCACATCTCCTTTGGAAGGGTCAGGCAGCCTTCCTCTTGATGTATACCCAGAAAAATCTGGACATTGGTGTTTTGGCTGACAAATATTCAGCTGCGTTCCGGGAAAAAGCAAAGGAGTTCTTGGTATCTAAGAATGATGAAACGGGACAAAGACAGACTCTCTGGACACTTCTTTCCATCTATATTGATGGTGTTCAAGAAGTGTTTGAGACAAGCCATTGTTTGCATCCTTCCCATGAAACACTGCTTAATGACGGATTTAGTATGCTCCTGCCAGCTTGTCAAGAATCTGAATTTAGGACAGTCCTGCACTTTCTACAAGCTGTCCTGGCCAAAATCAGGTATGTTTTCCAGTGATGTGCTAATTTATTAATTTGTCTTATATCATCATCTCTGTTCATTCTACACGAAAGTTTTCCTTTTGACATACTCATGAAATCCAAATGTAGGGTTGGTTTTATTGCTACGTTGGCAAAAATCAGTAGTTTTCAAACTGTTCTTTCAAACAGTAGTTCTTTAAAAAAAAAATAAAAAAAGCATGTTGCAAACACATTAAACTGAACCCAGAGCAGCTGTGGTGCAGTCCCAGAGCTGTGCCTTTTCACCCCTCCTTTCCTTTCTGCTGCTTCTAAAAGAGTATTATTACCTGGAGGTATGTTCCAGATACTCTAAGCAAGACCATGAGGTCAAATCTCAAGTGACTTTTACTGAAACATATGTAATTTATGATTTTGGCCATGCTGTACCATTTAAAAAGGTAAGTTTCTTTAAATATTTTTGTTGCAGAGTTATAGCCTCAACTGCCTGAATTACTTCCAGCCTAAAACATTTTATTCTGAGATAAAGATAGGACTGTTCTATTTATAATACCAATCACCTATACAAAACTTACTATTTTCAGATCCACTTAAATTATACAAATGTGCAGATGCACTCAGATCCAAACAATATTGGATGAGCACAGTGGTAACAACAGTTATTTTCTTTAAGGTTCTCTTTACACAATACATTTTCCTTTGAAGTACACGTTCTTATGAAGTCAGGTGCTACCACTCCGTGTAGTAAGTCATTGTCTCTGAAAAGTTAGGTAAAAGTTATGTATAGAAATATGATTTTCTGTAAATCATATATATAGAAAATATGCTTTTTATTAAAAGAATTACTGTTTTAAATTATGTAGAAGGTAACAAACAGACTGCTTTCCTCTTCCTAATACCACATTACAAAAGTAGCATGTGTTTTTCAAAGGTATCAAGCTTGACAAGATTTCCAAAATTTATTTATTACTTATTCAATTACTTTATTAATTTACTTAATTTTGGTCTGCGTGGTCATACTGATTAATCCACAGGTTTTCATTCCTCACTAGGTTTTATGTAACTTTATTATTTACCTGGTCTCATCAGCTTACGTTCCAAAGGTTCGGCCGGAGTCCTTGATCGGACAGTCATCTCCCTGCCCCCAGTGCCGGCTAGAGTAAAGCGAGAATCCTACACCGCTCGGATTTTTGGACTGATGGGTGGATAGATGAAAAGTAGATGAGTAGCCAACTGTATTAGAAGAAGCTTTTACTAGTTCTGGGTCTTCTCCATGAACTGTTTGCTTTTTTAATCTCGTACAGTTTATTAGCAAATATTAGTTTCCCAAGAGTCAGATTCCTTTTGTTTGTATACTTTTTAAATAAGTGGTAAGCTGTATTTCTCTTTATTTTCCAGGAGAAAATTAGAAATTTTCATACTTCTGGTACTATCAATGGTTTATTTATATTTTCCTGAATATACAAAACAAGTAGGAAGAGAAAATTACTGGTCTAAACTGTCCTGGTGATAAGGAGCTACCGCCCCCAAAGATAATAGGAACAAAGGAATAGAAAATGAAGCAGGGAGTCTGGGCACTTGGGAAGAGGCAGTCATGCAACCCAAGTGTCAGAATCTCTATATCTTTCTGCCGTTTCGATCGAAGATGGACAAGTCCCTTTTAATCACCTTAACTATTGTATTGCTTCATACATAGGTTTAAAAAAACAGATTAATATGCTACAAATAGTATTAATTTAATTTTTTTTAGTTAGAAATATGGGGAATTTTGTTACTGTTAAAATTTTCCTTAAATTGAGAATATACTATCTTTGGTAAAAGACAGAAAAATTAGGTATAAGGTGAAGTGTAAAAATGCCCCTTCCCACCTTCACTTCTTTATTCTGTAGTTCAGGGGAGCTCAACTAGTGGTGAGTTTGTCCCTTAGGAGACATTTGACAGTGGCTGAAGTTTTTGATTGTCACACCCAGAGGTTTGGGAGTTGCTACCAGTATCTGGTAGGTAGTGGGTATCTGGTAGGTAGTGGGTAGCGATCAGGGATACAGTTAAACATCCTGCAGTGCATAGGACAGCCCACACAGCAAAGAATTATCTGACCCAGCCTCAGTGGTGCTCAGGTTGAAAAATTACTATAGCTCTACTCCACAGAAGTAAAGCAGTTTCTTATAAAGCATTCTAGACTTTTTCCCATTCATAGTCTTGAAATACAGAATGGATAATCTCTGTTCTGCAGCCTTTTATCACTTAGTATTTCCTCAGTAGCTTTCCATGTTAGTATCTGAAGACCTGATTTTTTTTAGTGGCTGCTTTAGTGTCTTCTTACATGGATGTACTAAACTTTACTTAACTAATCCCCAAATAGTGGATATTTATATTGTTTACTTTAAAAGAAAGAAAGAAGGAAGGGAGATAGGCAGAAGGGAGAAACACAAGAAAGAGTCATTTAGGTATTTGATAATAGAGATGTGTTCCCAATTTCTTCACCCAGAATGTGGAGCTTCATTGAAGATCTTTCCATAGGAGTCTTTTGGGTATGCCAAAATATTATTGCTTTTAATATTATTAGAAAGTGCAAAAACATTTTGGATAGTCATAAAGCATAGGCTGTTGTGTTTTGATTTTTTTCTTTTCATTTAAGTTAAGAACACAGCTAAATTTTTTGAATTTTGGTTTAGATAGGGAAGATGGGTTATACAGATTGATGATATTTATTCCTGGCTGCATCCCTGACAAGGGAAAGAATGAAATACTTTACCTTAGCAATCTCTTCTGTTTTCAAATTCAGGTGGGAATAAGGTACCAGTCCTTGCATAAATATGTGTGCAAGATGTATGAGTGTGTGTGTTGAACTAGGTAATAGTTTTATAACTGTATGACAGAGAAATTATAGGTAGGCAGGAACTAAGATCACTGATTAAGGAAGAAGCGGCTCCCTCTAGGCTGTTAAGAAATAATAACTTCATATGCCACTTTCTGCTAACTGGAGCTGATGGCTCACCAGAGCATTCTTTATTGCTGATTAAGTAGCATTATGAAAATACTGACTTGGTTATGTTAACTAAATGCCTCCGTGTGTAAAACTTCGAATGTCAAATAGTTTTAGCAGTCATCTTTAACATTTCACATTAGCTTTCTGGAATCACATTTCTAGTTCTCACTTGCTATTATTTGAGGTTAATATAAAAATGCCAGTCTTTCATTTGTGGAGTTAGGTGTAGCCAAAAGCTTTTCTTTAATTATATCCATTCATGCTGCTATAGTTAAGGGTCTGTCAGCATTTCCATTATAAACCTCCATTTTCAGAGTTTTATAACACAGCTATGAAAATTAGCTTTGGGCAAAAACTTGACATACAAGATCTCATGAGATTCTCCCTCCTCCCCATCCCCCTTTTTCATTTTTACTGAAGTAAGGGTGAGTGATTTCAAAATGCCTTTTGGCATCTGCAAATATCATTTGGAGTTTAAAAAGAAACAATAAATTTTCAGGGTTTGTACCTGTTTGTTCTACCACTTAAGGGAGGTTGTGGACTTATGAATTTAAGCCAAAAGGATATTGATCAACTGACATCCTATTTTGTATTAAACAAGAGCCTAGTTTCAAAGAAGTCTAAAGGCAGTTGAAAGCTTACCTAAAATGTTAAATGTTGAGGCTAAGAAATAGTTCAAAAGGGATTACCTTTTTTTGATACTCAATGTGCTCAAGTACAACTTCTTGAAAGATTAAAACTCTTTTTCCTGGCTTCAAAAAATACATATATTTTAAAATCCCCTTTCTTCTTTTCTATTGAGCAAGAAGGTTATCTATTTGTTATGTATTTGTTTTGACATTTGGGGTAAGTGTTTGTGTGAGTGTGCACACACAAGAACTGTTTATTATTTCTCTCAAATATTTTCAATGCTCAATAGTTCTAGTTTTTTTAGCCTTTATGTTATGGTGTCATTTATTCTACACAATTTTTTTACATCTTCAGTGAGAGAACTGGGGGTTGTCTAAGTAGGGAAAGACGTAGTACAAAAGGAAATAGGCTTGTGAAGGTCTGCTGTATGCCAAATAATTTATGTGATTTTTCAGGAAAAATAGAAAGGATAGTCTTGAACACATGCATGTTTTTTTCCTTCTTTTGTTATTGGATGGACTATTACTGTGAATGGGTTACAGCTATTAATTGTTAGAGAATAGGTTACCATAAGACAAATTTGAAACTGGATATGATTTTTAAAATAACTGAATCATGAGTTATTTGTGTATAGTTTGCTTAGTATATCCCAGATTGCCCAAAGTGTCTGCTGATCTACTGTTTATCATCATCTATATACACATATATATGATATCATATATATATGATATGTGATGTGACTCATTTTAATTTGATACAAATTATGGTGCAGTGTTTTAATAATATAGGAGAGGGAGCACATGAGTATGCTCCATGGCAAGTGTATTTTCAGTTTTTACTGGAAAAATCAAATAGTTTTAGTTGCTCACTAAAAGTGATCCATCTACCTGTGAATGTATAAATCTTAGTATTTGGGGATATATAAGACATAAAGATTGCTTTTCATCATTAAATATTTCATATATCTTTCAACTGAGATCTTACATATAAATTATGCATATTTTGACATTCTTTAGCCTTTACCAGGCTTGAATTTTGCACATCGTGTTTACAGTCACTTTTTTGTATTACATACTTATGTGTTTGTGCAATAATATAATCTACTCACCCTTAGGAATATTTGTTCAGGTTTTTTTTGTATTTTGCTGAAATATAATTTTATGTAAAAGAATTAATATTTGGGTCAGTTATTTAGTCTCAGGTGGATCTGTTACATAGGTAAGAAATCTCATTGCATAAGAATAAAACGATTCTTTTAAAATACTGTAAGGGAAAATTTAAGTGCCTAAATCTCAGCTTTATTGGTAAAATAAGGATGATAGCACATACCTCACTAGGTTATTTTGAGGATTAAATGCAGTAGCGAATATAAAGTGGTTAGCACAGTGCCTGGCACACTAGTAAG